GGGAATCCTCTCTAACACGTAAATTTTGGCCCGTTGGATCCAGTAAATCATTTATCACCTGATACAAAGACGAATATCAGATAAACTGCAGACAGCTGCAACAAAGAAGCACACATGTAAAACTAAGAAGATCATGAGTAGTCACCCAATTTTCTACATTGTTAAGGATTATAGTTCTCAAAGATAAGGCAGAAGAAAAAGAAAATATATCCTAGTCTAAATTATCTACTATTCAGGTCTTAGCAAGTTAAATATCAAGGATAAAAATTCCACTTACCTCATTATATATTTCAAGATATGAAACACGGAGCAAGAACTCCCTTCCTGGAGTCTGAAATATAAAAACGTAGCCATATAACAAAGTCGTGTTAAGATGAGAAAAGATATGAACCCCGTTAAGACCACTTACATCCTGGATGATACTGAACACGTCTTTTATAGCTAGCGGTATGATCCCAGGAGATTCTTGATCACCCTATGCATATTGCAAAAGGAACCAATGGGAGAACAAAAAGAGCATCAGACATAGGTTCTACTTGTTTGGCCGGGAACTAAAGACCCAACTTTCCAGGTAGCTACTTAACTAAAGATAAGCACAGCCAATCTAAATGAAGACCTAAAAATTCCATTCATACGAGCATACCCAACTCACATAACCATCAGCCATAAATTATGGCAAGTGCAAGTGGTCTTTGTATGGTATCTTTTACTACCATGAATATGTTTAGAGTAACCCAGAATAACCAAAAGATACCAATGGGGAACCAAGTCAAAGAAGTGAGACCCCAATTCATAGCACATGTGTTACGAAAAAAAAACTTACATGCATTGTATGTGTCTTTCCACTGCTAGTAACACCATAAGCAAAAACGGTTCCTGTCAAATTTCCAACCCTAAAGTCAGAAAATATGTTGCAAGAAATACTAGTAGGATACCAATTGGCCCTGAGGATATTTCTATGAAAACACACAAATATGGTAAAGCTGAATAAGCAGCAATGTTCCTTACCGTTAACACCTTCCATTGCTGCCTTGACTACTGGCCTTGCAGCTACATCATAAACGTCTATAGTAGTTGCTTGTGGTCCAAAAACTTTATCTGGCATCAAAACAAAATTGGAAAAACATTCACTCAAACACAAAATAATCAATAAAAACAAGCAATTGGCAAGAGAATAATTGAGGTGAACCAAATACCGAATGCGTAAGCAGTGAGTGGATTGTACTCGTGCCTGACCAATGTATCGCCATCAGGGTACCAGGCAACTTCATCTCCTCTTTGATACTCTCTATCACTGCAACCCGCAAAGAAAGAACGAAAATCTTTAGCGTGAATTTGAAAACCCCAAAAAAAAAAGACGACTTCAATTGCATCTATAGGAAACTGTAATCTCTATAGAATAGATCTGGGCCATGGCGATCAGATCTAACATACCTCAATGGTCGAAAACGAACGGTTACGGAGATACTATCCCGCTCAGAGCTAATAGTCTCCTCCATAGGCTCACCGAGAAGCTCCTCTGAGGGGTAAGGTACAGGCGATCCAATTCCAAAGCTGCCGGAGCCGATAAGGCCCGAGTCGGAGAAGGTGTGACTATGCGTCATAGATCGGGAGCCGATTCCGGTGCCGGAGTTAATCAAGGAGGAAGCAGAGGTGGAGGAAGAACGAGGAACGAGACGGTTGCTGAGATGAGAAGAAGAAGTGGAAGAAGCGGGACTTGGAGGTCTACTGCTTCTAGTTCTGGAGGAGGATGAAGCCATCCATCCACAAACCTCGAAACTCGAGGAGGGAAGTCAACTCGGTAAACCCGGCGACTCGGTCGGTGAGAAGAATCAACAAAACAAAACTTCCGAAGATGCAGAGAATGTGTCAGTGGGAGCTCACATGGCTGGGGACATAAGAAGAATAAATCATCATTGTAACATCTCCTCTCTCTCTTCTCCTCTCTTCTTCTTTGGCTTGGGCGTTTTTTTTGCTAGGAGACGGTAGAGAGGGATGGTGAGACCATAGAAGATAGAGAGATTGTTTCGTCTTCTTTAAGCGAAGCTGCTGTAGAGAGAGAGATGAAGATCGAATTGAGGGAGAGAGAAGGTGAATTCAGATTTCTCTCTCCTGTGGGTGAAGAAACGAGGAGGCTGAGAAAATTCAGATTTTGAATTTTGTATTTTCTCTCTATGCCTTTCCAAATAGACGCTATTTTTTTAATTTATTATATTAATTGTGGTAGTTGAAAATTATTTTTGGGAAGAGGACGACAATACAAAAAGAAATGATTTTTTTTTTTTGGGTGAGAAGAAAAAAAATATTTAAAAAAATGAATAATTTAAAGTAGTTTTTACTGTATGCTGATGTGGTATTATTGAAGACCAGATCCAGACCACCACCGTGTTAATAAATGGTTTAATGAAAAAAGCGCGCACCGGTTAAAAATTAAAAAAAAAAAAAACAAGGTTTTCGAAAATATTTCAAGCTACGAGACGAGCGGGAATAACAATGGCTGACCAAATACAGTAATTTCCCCTTTTTATCCTTCTTCTCCTACTTCATACTATATGATATATAATTATTACTTAAGAAAGATGCTACGGTTAATTTCCATTTCAAGCACAACATAAATGTCAGCACTCAATAGTAACCCCAAACCCAAATTAAGTAACGTATCATCTATACGATTGAGATAGATATCTTGTTGATCAATTACAGTATTTTTTCTTTATAAACTCCATTTTGGAAGTCTCCTATGCTTATGAAAATTTTAAATTATTTGAGCATTGCTTTGAATTTTCTTATTATGATAAATAGAAGATATGTAGCATTCTGCAAAACACTACTCAGATTTCATAACTACTAATTGGTTAAGTAATTTTTGTCATCGTAGGAACAGAGAAAACAGCATGACTCAAAATATTGTCAACGACGTTTTCAATTATATATATACTGTCTCCTGGCGTTTACATGTTTTAGGTGTTAATCGTCTAAGTTTTGATTTAGATATAATATTGTTTGTATCTAAAAAATATATATTAAAAAAACGCCAACGATAAACCTCAATATGTATGGAGTTGCAACTTATCAAAGATGATTGTATATGGAGTGGAGTTACCAGCACGTATAAATCTGCAAAAAGCTTTATACGTCCATCGTCATATATAAAATGTCCCAAGTTGGACATATATATATATATAATAGTGTTGTTCCATTATATCGGAAGGTGATAACAATGGTATAAAGCGAAACGTGTAGACAAAAAAATGTATTTAAACGTACATTAATACAGTAAAAAAATGTTTTGTGTGGTAAAAGTCGTCAATCAAATTATACGTTTTATGTGATACAAATGTAGAAAGTACGTTATTAAACATTGGATGCGACACAATCATACACGGAGATTGATCTGACTTGAGTTCCGGTTCTATACTTCTACCTTTACCGCGAGACATTGCATTGCAAATTACGTAACCATATATTTCTCGAAAATACAAAATGTTACTCCACGCGCATCAAGAGAAGAGTGGAGACACGCGCGATAATAATTGGACGGTGAGGAACCGGCTGATTAATTAAAAAAGATTTATGTTTAGCCACACGCACCCACCCATGAGGCCATGACCACCATGTCATGTGATCTCGCTGCTCCTTTCTCCTGAATCCTGATAACCGCTTTACACGTAAGACCAGACGCTAATTAGGGTTACTACTACATTATTGACGACAAAGGGTAATTATGTATATTTCGTAATATTTGCACACTAGTAGGTGTATTAAAAATCGTTCTTACTTTCAGCAGCGACTAGGACAGATCCCTGTTTCCATTGTTTCTGTTGTAAACAATGATATTTCTGATTAATAAAGTTTGCAAGGGTGTTAAAAAAAAAAACAATAAATTATGTTTTCCATGTTTTGATTTGACATCTAAGGCTAAATTGATATACCAACAACAAACATCATTAAAGAAAATTTTCAAAATTGAGTACGATGATAACGTAACATTTAACTTATATAAGTATACATATATGATCCAAGAAATGTTTCATTTCATTTTCAAAGTAATTACATTGAATCGAGTATTTCATATTAGGATCGACATTAGTGCTTAAGCATTATCATGTGGAATCTTGTGTTTCATTAAATAATCAGAGAAGTAATAATTTCTATTATTATTAGTATTAACAATAATTTATAACAGCAACGACAATAATTGTTGGAAATCGTCTTAGCCTCTTGGGGGAACACGTAAATTTGGATAATGCTTCTGATTCAAACCAAAAATATTCGACATGTCTTTGTATGTTTCTAGAAAATCTATCAATTTAACTTCACATTATTTTATTTTTTGTTTCTATTTAAAAGGTCCAGATCTGTACTGTACATATTACACACTCACATTTTTATGCGTTATTTATGTAATTCATACAAATTAAATGATAGAATGAATATGAATTACCGCAATGAGATAAAATACAGAGTGCCTGCTTCTCGAAGCTAAGTAGTTGTCACACCTTTCACTTTCTATTGTTCGAGCTTCAGTGCACAGCTGGCTCACGTGCATGCTTTTCCCTTTCTCACGTGCCATGTGGTGTCATCTTTAAATTCCTCCCCTTGATATGTCGAGTGTAGTGTGAGAGATAAAAAAAAAAAATACAAATACGTTGTGTTGTTTTAGTAAACCTCACTAGCTTTAACATACCTAAAATGGAAATTACTTTAGGCTAGAAAAATATATAATCTATCATCAAACATGAAAATTTATTTAATCAAAATTTGTAACTCTGATTTGTGTCGGTCCGTACCGATTATATATTTTGGCAGCAAAGCGTGTGCCCAAGAAAAAAAAAAAAAGGAAGATGTCATTGTAGACCCAAGAAAAAAAGAAGAGAATATAATTTTTTACATGGGTCATAGTTGGGCCTACTTTGGCCCATTCCACAACGTAAGTTGTTTTACTTGTATGTAAGTAACACTTTTACGGAGTACAATTTTAAAGGGTTTATAATAAAAACCCCAAACCCCAATTTTTAGAGCGTTGGTAGTGGCAATGGAGAGAGTGACAGCATCATCGTCTTCTTCATCGACTCACCTTATCCACAATATTCTCCGACATCCCAAACCACCGTCTTCGGTCTGTCTCTTTCTTAGACCCTTTTGCTTCTCCGCTTCAATCTCTCAGTCCAACAAGCCTCGCCTTCAATCGTTCTCCTCAAAGTCTCTTTCTTCTCCTTCTACTTCACTCGTAACGAAATCTTTCTCTTCAGTCGATGAACCAGATCTCGAAGAAGAAGAAGAAGAAGAGAGCGAGGATGAAGATTACAGCGCAGAAGAATACGAATACGAAGAAGGAGAAGAGGATGAGCTGGACAGTGGAGTGGTTTCCGCGACAGGAATTGAAGATTCGGAAGCGTCTGAGGAGACTTCGGAGATGGGTTTAGGAGAAAAGGAAGAAAAAATAGAGAAGATGAAGAAGAAGGCTCGGGGCTCGGCTTTGAAGTTGTCCATAAAGGAGAAGAAGGAATTGGCTTCTTACGCGCATAGTTTGGGTGATAAATTAAAATGCCAACTCGTAGGCAAATCTGGTGTTACTGATTCAGTCGTTTTCTCCTTCCTCGAGACTCTCGAGAAGAACGAGCTTTTAAAGGTATCATCTTTACATGGCTCTGTGCTTTGTCTCTCTGATAGCGTTTTGTGTTCAATCTTCAGGCCTACTGAGTTGAAAGGGAAGTCATCTCCAGGGATTTAGGGTAGATGAATTGTAACTTCGTAACTCATATTGTTTTCATCTTTGGGGTATGCAATGAGATTATGTGGAATCTTGATGTTTTGTTTAAGGAATGTTGCTGTTTGATTGGTCTATGATAATGGATTGAAGCTGTGAAGCACTCTTATTTTCTGATGCTTACTTGAGCGAGTCTCTTGTTAATTCTTATACAACAAACAGGTGAAAATACGTAAGACATCGCCCGATGAGCTAGAGGATGCGGTTCAGCATTTGGAGGAAGCGACTGGTTCCGTAGCAGTAGGTCAAATCGGGCGGACTGTGATATTGTATCGGCCTAGTCCCACCAAAATGAAAGCAGAGGAGAAGAAGAAAGAAGTTGAGAGAATGTCAATTACTAGAAGGCAGAAATACACAAACACTCGACCCACTAAACCCTTTGTAAGTATCCCCAAGAAACACCCGCTTCTTACTCTATATTGTTTTGAACTTTGAGATCATTCAGTCTTGTGGTTGTTGCAGAGAAGAGAGTATCAAGAGAGGCCTGATGGACGTGGACGCAGAGGCGGAAGTAGAGTTCCAACGGCTTGAATTTTTACCCGGTTTGATTGTTATTATCTCAAGACTAGTTATGTATTTTCATTTTCTTCAAGAATACAATTTACAAACACAATCACACTGAAATGTAAGCCAAATCCCCCTTTGTTAGGAAGCTTTAACCATGTTGTGAACATAAATTGAGAGAAGAATTAAAAAGAACAGATAAATATTATTTGTCTGTTATGCTTTGAATTTACATAGCTCTGACCAAAAAAAAAATGTTGACAAAAAGTGGAGAATCTAGACATAATTAGAGCCTCAGAGCTCGATGTTACTTGCTTATTTTGTTGCTAGATATATCAAAATTAGCCATTTATTTGGCAAACTCTTAGATATAGTTCGCAACAACTCAGACACAAATCATACCGAGACTTAAATGGATTTGAGCTTCTCCGCCGTATATGGACTTAGCTCATCTGAATTAAGTATGCCTCCAGGTGAAAGAAGCCGCCGTAGATACAGACCAAACCGACCCTGCAATGTTAAAGCATATGTTGGTTAAAAGACAGATTTTGACGAAGAGAATATCGCTGATAACATTTTGCATATAAATGTTTACCCATTGAAACCCGACGAGAACGAACCAGCAGCCGAGTAAACCATAGCCACTTCGTGTCACGAACTGTGTCATTAAACAGTAACAAAAAGTCATTTTAGGGTTGCTCAAATTTAAAGAGTCTTCGAAGATTTATAATCTCAATTAGGGTTTGTGAAAAGGGGAAATAAAGTACCATTAGTGTGAGACAGCCAAGAACGAAGCTGGAACTCATCACGGAACTGACGAATTTGAGATCACGTCCGGCCTGGTAAACAATAAACAACGTTTAGTTTAAGCATACTATCTTGTTTCAAGATTACACAAATTAAAAGAAGTATTACGTAATAAGTTGTTTGCTTCTCAAGAAACCATGTAATTGAATAAGAGCTTGTAATTTACCAGCAATGTACCCTCGAGTGATACAGTCATAGGCAATGCAGACAACGCCATGAAGAAAGGTATAAGCAATCTATGCATCTGGGAACAGACCAAGGATTAGAATAGACCAAGATTAAAAAAATTAAAAAATATATATGAAGTAAATGTTGATTTGAAACACAAAAACAGACCTCGGTTATGATGACTTTATCTTGTGTGTAGACCCCAGGAAACAGAGCTGGAACCGTTGTTCCAATAACTCCCAAGACTAATCCAAGCGTGGCTCCAATAATCAGTAGGGACTTGAGCAACGTTCTAGCCTTTGGAAGGTTACGGTTCGCACCATATAACATCTCTGGCATAAATGACTGAGCCGTTTGAGAAAGTGGCTCACCCCATACATTGCACATCCTGTACGTCTGAGCCATCACCTATAAAAAAGGAAACAGAAATGTAAAATACACAACATTCACATAGCTCGGCGTAAAGATCTCTGCTTTGTAAAATACCTGATGAGCTGCTAAAACATGAGTTCCCATAGAAGTGGCACAGTAGATGATGAAAGAATAGAAAGCAATCTTGGAGAAAATGGAGATGAAAACAGGTGCAGCGAGTGAAGAAATCTTCCATAGTTCTTGCGGTGAAGGGATGGCAAAGGAGTAAGCATTGTAGCCTTCTTTTTTCAGAGAATCCATCATCATAAAAGCTGAAACAATCTATAGCCATATATAACATACAAACACATTTAATTAATCCTTAATGAATTATCTTCTGCGTCTTTATTTACATTGTAAAAGTTTTGGGCTTCTTAATATTTACCTGAGAAGCAGCTGTTGCCCAAGCAGCTCCGGCGATACCTTGTCCAAGAAACAAGCATAGGATTGTATCTCCAAGACCATTAATGATCGTTGCTGCAGCTAATGCCTTAAGAGGTCCCCATGAGTTCTTCATTCCAAGACTGATACAGATTCTCTCATCAAAATCAAGTAATAAAGAGGCGAAAAATAGACACAGAACATCTAGCGATTCAAGCTAATTAATAAGAAGGAAAAATGTAAGAAACCTTGCGCTTTGAGCAACCAATCCAACAAGGATAAATGGCCACGCTAAACCTCGGATCTGCGAGACAGAGAGATTCCAGTTAAAGAAAGAGAGAACATTCATCAAGCGAATTTGAAACAGAAAAGGGATCGAAAGAACAAGAACCTGAATATATGTGTTAGCTGCAGGTACAATCTCAATGTTCTTCCCTCTAGTAAAAGCTACAAAAGAGCCATGAAAAAAGTCTAAATACTTTTCATTCAAAAGGGAAGCAGACATTTGTAATTAACATATAAAATATTGTTTACCAGTAACAGCCCAAGGTCCAAATAATTTTGTGAGCAGAAGCATCATAAGTCCACAAACCAAACCAATAAAGAGCAAGACAGAGATTTGATGTTGTGCTTCTTTCTTGTCCTGCAAGAAAAAAAAAGAAATAACATTTTAGATGTTTCCACATAAGAAAAAAGCAAGTCAAAGTTGGAAGAGTAAAAAGTAAAATAAATAACCTGTTTGGCAAGAGAAGTAGCGACCATATTGGATGTAGCCACGGAGAGGAACATGAAGACGTAACTCATGTGGTCGCATAGTACTGTTCCCGGTCCTATTAAACCAGTAATTTTCTCAGCCATCGTATAAATAAAAAAATACTCTATTTTTACCGTATTCTCACACACCAAAAAAAACACACATACACAAATCTGTGTAATTACGTTCATATTTTTAAAAAAACACTCTAGAAGAGTCATGGAAAAACGTTACCAAAAGGCAAATAAAATAAAAATTTGAAGATGGTAAACCGACACAAATCTAATAGTTAGCTGGAAAAAATGATTGTACAATATAAAGACAGATAGATGGACACACTTACCTAATTTTGTTATAAACAATTTATATAATTGGTGCACATGGTTTTATGTGTAATAGATTCTAAACAGAGTAAAGGTCCACATGGTTCCAAAATATGTGTAACAGATTCTAAGCAGAGTAAACAAACCAAAACAGTATGAATGATTGTTTCAGGTTTTATTTATTATTTACTTACTATTGGGGACCAGTCCGGTTCGAAACTGGCTTTGAATTAACCGGAAATATATATATCATAGACCAGAATCCAGATAGACAGATCTTGAATTGGAAAAAAAAAAGAAAGCGTACCAAGAGCAGCGAGTTCGATGGAGCTTCCTTGGCCGATGACGACAGTGTCGATGAGGCTCATCAACGGTCCGCAGATCCACATCCCCATAGCCGGACCTGTGAACTTCACGATCTCTTTCATCTGTTCCCATATGCTCTCTTTCACCAGATCCCCTCTCTGTTTCTCCTCCTCTTCCCGATCAACCCCGACGCAGTTCCTCGTGACTCGCTCTAATATGATCCTCCGTCTAGCCACCACCGTCTTTCCCTGAAAACTCGGAGGAGGAGTCGCGGTGATCGCACCGAGTTTTCTCCGAGTTAGCGCGGAATCAGGGATCAGTGCTTGGTGGGAGCTAACCGGAATGGGTCTTGGTTTGGGGAAGAGAGGAGAAAAAAGGGTCAACCTTTGGGATTTGATTAGCATTTTCTTGGTTAAGAGACAAATCGGTGAATCTGATCACCGCTTTCAAGTTTTTTTTTTTGGCGCCTCGAGATTTGTTACAGAAGAAAGAACAAAACAGAACCCAACCAACTCTCTATATACTACTACTACTCGGTTTACCACGTCACGTGCTCTGCTCTTTTTATTTTTCCTTCCTAGATTATTAATCTTCTTCGAAATTTACATTTTTCTATCCATTGAAAGAAATTATCAAACAAAAAAAAAACATATACAATTATCACCTTGGTTCCATTGATTAAACTGTACAATTATTTACAATTGGGTGTTGTCATTACATTTCCTAGCTGTCAAAGGTCACTTTGTGTAATTTATGTATTACATGGATGGTAGAAATACATAAACTACCGAAGAAAAAAACAAAACCATAGTCTTTAATTATGTTTTACACTCAAATGAATCAACTAATAATACAAGTCTTCTCATCATAGTCTTTAATTTAGTCAATTAAAAGACTTGTGAATTGTTTATATAGTTAAAAGACTTTGAAAAGACTTGTATTCTTTAATTGTTTAAAAGTGTGAATATTGTAATTGAAGACTATATATGGCTGTTGTTTATTTTATTGGTTCAAGTCAATGGTGTTGTTGTTAGGTTATTTCTTTGAAGGATGTGTATAACTTACATTAATTTGTATATATATTTTCCAATATTGTTGTTTGTGTACCATCTAATGTATTCAATAGAAGAGAGAGAGAAGAATATATGTAGTATATAACATGGATTCCATCAACTTAGGAAACAAGTGTCTCTCGAGCTTGACTTCAACCGTTGATCCAATAGTAACTAAAGCAAAATACCAACTCTACTACTCATTTTAGTTTGAATCTTCTTAACATGTCAAAGACTTGTCCCAAAAGACTGACTTAATTTATTTTGCCGTTGGCAGTGGAGTCACAAAGAAAAGTATGTGACACTTCCAACTTTCCACGAGTTTTCTTGTCAATTGTGTAGGTAATTTTCATGGCCATACTGACTACAAAAAGTATTTGATTTTAAGGAACAAACAAAAAAAACGTGAGGAAAATTTTCGTCGTGAGTTCTGGTTCCATTTCTTGGTAATTTTGTTCGTTCAAATCGTTTTCTTCTTCTTTTAGTGGTCATTCATATATGATAACATTTTTGTCCTCTTTTCAGTCAAATGTTTGGTATAGCCAGCCTCTAAAATTTGATTTTTTTTTTCTTGTTTTCTAAAATCAAATTTTTTGTCCCCTATTTTTCAAACGATTAGATTTGATAACGAAGTCCAATTAAATTAATTAAAGCTTCACATTTGAGGACATTTTTAAGGACAATGTTATATACTTACTCGAACACTAATCGTTCATATCATAAAAGATTAGATCATCGAATATTGGAGATGATATTTATTTTGTTTTAATGATCAGATTGGTGTAAAAGTATAGAGAGGAAGAAAAATAAATCTAGCTAGTTACTGACTGAACAATGGCAAAAACACCAAGTTTTTTCATACAGATAAAACTAGCGTCTCGGGAATCACTGAAACCCACCAAAACAATCCATTAGAAGACCTCAATGACCTTAGTTGCGAGGACACGGTCCCTTCTTTCGATGTAGTCGTAAGGAAACCAACCCGCTTTACCTTTACATTCTCCTTCTGCCCACCCGCTACTCGCTACCTGGATCAGCAAAAATACTTGCAAATGAGTCCTCAAAGATCAAATATTAATCTTATATGCTTTGATTTTGACCCCTGACCTCTCTGATAACAACATAGTCTCCAACTGATAAGCTGAGCTCATACTCTGAATCAGCTTGATATGGAAACATGACCTGTGCGGGTAAAGGATAGATATGCAAACCAAGATATTAACGAAGCTCTTGCGAGTCTGATAAGGTGACATTATTAATTACACTAACCTCTCCTAAGAAGTAACCCATGGCGTCTGATGTTCCATTATGCACTTGAGAAGTATTGACTCCATTGTTGGCTTCTTGATGTGAAGGAGGAGGCGAGGATGTGATGTTCTCTACTTGTGGAGTTTGAGGTGCTTCGATTCTTTGTTGCTCAAATCTCATCTATACAATGAATTCATGTCACTTGGAGATTAACAATGTAGAAAGGTTTGACCAACGGAGATATATATATACCTCTCCTTCTAGCCGTTCAATAATCTCAAGGATCCTTTGATGATAACTACGCTCTGCTTCAACCTTTTCATAGAAACATTTCAAAGCAAAGAGGGTAAATGATTTTGAGGCCAAACCAACTTCCAAGTCTTACCAAAACAGTTGTCCACGAAAGTACCAAAGTTATTAGCCGCTGAAGAGTTTGGGTTTGCTGTTGATCTTCTACTCCGGCCATGGCAGAAGCTGCTTCCCTCCCCAATATTGTCATATTTGAATTAAGGTCTTGTAGTTTGGCTTCAGCAGATTCCAACTTCATAACTAATTCGGGATTACCAGGATTCTCTCTAACTTTAGCTTGCCGTCTCGATACTTCAATAGTCTGCGTAGGTTCAAGAAAAATATATGAGTAAGATAACACAAGTTGGTGTCAGAAGTTAAAAAAAAAAAAAAATGGTGCTGCTGAGAACCTGAGCTTCAGCTTCTTGACGCATCCGATCATACCGCTGTGCTAGATGTCGAGCATCTTCCAATGGAGCTCCCATTACCATTGCTCTTAGTGGCTCAGCGACCTAATAACTTCATCATGTAAAACTTAGCTATGTTGTTAATGAAAAACTACATAGATTGTGCCAGACTATAAACGGTTTTGAAACCTGAGTGCCAAAAGTCTTCAAGAGATTTCCGCGCTCTTTCTCCATTTGAGCCCGAGCATTTGCGAAGCTTAGTGAAGCTCTTGTTAGTGTATTACCATTTGTACATGTATTTTCCGAACCATATTTCCTACTATCCTCACATAACTTAGTCCCTAACAGCAACAAAACTAATCAGAACAAGATTATAAGAATCATGAAACAGAAACTAGAGACATAAGAAAAAATCACCTATTTCGACTTGTTTGGATCCTGTAATGATATATCCTTCTACACCACGAACAATGTCCCGTTGAAAACGCTAAGAAGAAGAAGGCAGTTTCAGGGTTACAATGAAGAAACAGTAGCAAGAGAATGATAGGAAAAATCAAAAACCTTAGCAGAACGTGTTGAGATGTAAAGCTTGTCCAGTTTCTGATGCCGATGTAACTCTTCCTCATCGGTTATTACAGTGTCTGAACCTCCATAACCTCCTCCCCCAAATTGTCTCAGAACAGCCTCCACCAAAATTTACAATAGCGAACAGAGAGAAACATCAGCATACTTTGAAAGCGTTAAGTAAGAAGTCATCGCAACAAAATACTGTAATTTGTGTGAAAAATATCAAATTTTAGAGAATCATAGGTTGAATCAAAACAATAGCACCAAAGATACAAGTTTCAAACCAACAAAAGTGTAATAGTAAAGATTATCAATTTGAGAGACCAAAGATTGTAACTTTCCAACTAAAAACTATCGATTTAAGTAAAACCCAGAAGCCAACACCACCCACTTAGATCAAGAACAGGATCAACTTCAACTAAAACCGATAAAATAGCGCAAAGCCCATCAATTTAAAAAAAAAAGTGATAAATTTTGAGATACGAATTAGGGTTTTTATGAATTAGGGAGGGGGGTAACCTGTTGCTGTCTAGCCACTTGTTCTCTGAGCTTAGAAGCTTGCTTTCTGATTGTTTCCATCTCTCTTCTTCGTCTTCTTCCTCCTCCTGATTTCTCTCTGATTCGCTTCAGGTAGGAGAGAGAGAGAGAGTGTTTGAAAATCAAAATCTACTTTTTTTCTCTTCCAAACATAAATAATTTGGGTTTACTTTGGTAGGAGTTAACCGGAATAGGTCTTGGGTTGTGAAAGAGAGGAGAGAAAAGGGTCAAAAATTTTGGGATTTGATGAGCATTTTATGGTTAAGAAAAAATTCGGTGAATCTGATCAACCATCTATTTATATATAACACAGGTTTTCTAAATCGGTGAAAAATTACAGTGTATTACATGCTAGTAGCGAGTTTCTTGGTTCCTAATTACATGCCTTAGAAATATGATGATGATTAATTAGATCGTCCTGTTTAATTAGTGATTGTTCATGTAGCTTCAGTAGACCTACTTAATTTTTAAACTATTTCTAAATTTCTTTTTGTAACTATATAAAATTAAACAAGATATATACAGTAATACAGAGTGTCGTCAAAGAGTAACAGTGTGATTCTATAGCTGAAAGAATCCTAAATATATATCATTAAGTAGCAATGCATTAAAAATACACAAATGAATATGTAATTTTTCTCTAACACACACACACCATACATTCAGTTATTTTTTTGTTTAATTTATCTTCAAGCTGACAAATGTTCATTATACATACACACCATTTTCAAATACAAAAACAGAAACAGATAACAAAAAAAAAAAAACTACATATTACGAGTGCATCAAATTAATATTCGTTTTCCTCCAACTTTGAAAACATATTAACCACGTAGATTAATTACTTGATTTATGCAGCTTATTTTAGCAAGGTTTTGGGACCATTGGAACGTAGTAGATGAGTTTTGATTACTAAAGTTGATTATTTGGACCCACGGTAATTTTGATGGAATAATCGTGGTCCTGAAGAATGAAAAAAAGTATCAGTTACAACTCCACTTACCAATCATAATTTAAGTTACGAAAACACATAAGTAACACCATATATGTCAGACATTAGAAAGAACAAAGATAAGAAAGATATTAAATTTTTAATCATATAAATTATATTTCATTGATGATACTCAAATGAAATAGACATTTGATCTTATTAACAAACCATATACTGTATCCAAACTCAAAACACTGTAGTAATACTAAAAAAATCATCAGCCAAGCTAAGTTGCTAATAAGCAACACTTATGTTAATTATTAAACGACTAACTAATTAATTAGTGTTCTTTTTTTTATTGAAGTAATAATAATTATAGTAACACCTTGACACATCATCAGGCCTCCGTACGTACGTAATTATATCTTCATTGGACTCAGAACTCATATACCTCCTCTTCCACTAACACCATCATGAGGCTTCGCATATTTGCCGAACATATAGTCGCGTATAATAATCTGTCGGGTGTTTTCTTTGGCTTCGTCTACTCTGGGCTTCCGAGCTCGGCAAAACTTGCAGCAGTCGGAACAGACGAGGTATTTTCCGAAGATGATTACGGCCGTGATCGGCACTGACAAGAACTGGAATCGCTTTACCAGAAGAAAAAGAATGACGGTGGCTAAACCGTTCGCCAAACCTAAAAGTGGAAAAGACACAAAAGAGTTGGACTCGGAAAATGCTTAACATATACGTTATGGCTAGGGCTTAGGGGGACTTAGTAAAAACGCAGTGTGAGTTATATATATATATATTGGGCGATTTATGTTAACAAATTAAAATACCTCTGTCTTTGATTTGGAGAAGCTCTGCGACAACCACCGTGGTGTAGTAGAGTCCGATGACTAACACTACCAAGGTCGTGGAGTGATAGTCAGAAATTTTGCTCTTTAGGAGAGTAATGGCCCAAATGACTGTTGCTTCAACAAAGCACATCAAGGCTGTGTAGATGTGGTTGTTGTCACCGAGTAAGTTGACGAGCGTTGTAGACAGCGTAGGTCCCAATAGATAAACTATGATGCCAAACGGGGTGAAATAAATTGCAGGTAAACAGCATATGAGCAGCGTCGGGTAGAGATCTTGATCGATAAAGTCACAGGAGAGTAAGCAAAAATAGGAGACGAATAACCAGAGAAAGGTTTGAAAATAGAGGATTTCTCTAGTTCCATTTAGGAACAACGAGAGGTTGACGAGACAAAAGTCGAAAAACCCGAAGACCTTTTTAATCATACCAAAGCGCCCACTACTAACTGAACCATTGACATCTTGAGCGGAAGACATGGTTTGAAGGAATTGCTCTCGGTGATAAAATTAAGAAAGACGATGAGGAAATTGTGTATATCGATCTCTCTTTATATAATGCTGTTAAAAAGCTATTTGGTCATGAAGAAGTTACTTTTTCAAAAGAAAAATACTCACAATTGATTAATTACGTGGAGAACTTAAATTACTACTACAGACTCAAAAATGAAAATGTAAAAATGAGTTCGATGGTGTCAAGCTGGCTGAGTGTGCATGGTGATGCGCAGATGAGAGAATGTTAGACTAAGATAGGGCCCGCACTAGGTGTCTCTCTGTTTTGCTTTTGTATAAACCCACGACCTAAATGCATGCATGCAGCGACGACTAGTTTAATTTAATTCGTGGAACCACAATCATATTTTTCTTTTTAATAAAATAAAACCTGCAGAGTTCATTAACTATACCCGTCAAGTTATAATTCAGTGTTACTCTTGTTATTTACAGTGTAGGGCGATGATTTGATAAATTGATTCTACTACTGTAACTAGGCACGTACGTAGAGTTATTAAAAATGATCAATAACTAAATTGCCTGACGTCAACGAAAGTCAGATATGAACATAAGCATTTAATCATTTTGCACACCATATGATCGATCTCTTTAGTATGCATATATGAGAGAATTGGTCCTTTCATAAGGTAAAAAATTAATAAATCCGTAAACACAACATTAATATATATATATATAATATAACACTTCTTGAGAAAAAGGTAAATCAAGACAAAAGACAAAAATTCTAATTGAGATCTACATTGTTTTATAACTGGGATCCCACTCACACACCAATGGTGACTTTGGTATCCAACGTAACGACGAGTCTTGACTTGCTGGGTTTTCTAATTCCCATAATGCCAAAGTTCTTTTTTCTTTTGATACAATTCGGGCAAATTAGTTGTCCATTACTTGTTTACTAAAAATTAATTCCACTAAGCTATTAACCTTAACTGATCCACGTACGCGCCTCTAATCTTTTTGTCCTCTTGTAATATTTCTTTTTACCTGGTTCCTTTTTCTTTGTTTTTGTTTTATATCTACCTACCTGGTTCAATGAACCATTTCTTATCAATTAAAAACAAAAAACAAAACACACAATGAAGTCCATTAATGATCAGAACCAACACAACAGTTTAGTATACATTTTAGGGGCGGATCTACACTGTTGGGAGGTGGGGCACGTGCCCCATACTCCTTCTTAAAATTTAACGAGTATATCTTAGTCAAATAGATTTTTCAGCACAGTTGGTTAATGAGCACCCATTTTGTCTTTTGGTTCAGAGTTCGAACCCTTGCTTCTACATGTTATTTAGCATTTTTCTTATTTTTTATATTCTTAGATCAAATGAATTGCTTTCAGTTCTTATTTTATTATTCAACTTTAAGAAATTTAATTAATTTTTATTGTATAGTATACATATATCTTAAGTGAAAAAAATGTTAGTAACAAAATAAATTAGAATCATTAAACCATATAGTATTTTTTTTTAAAGTAATTTAATATTTTTAAATATTAAATTTCTGTGGTATAGTTAGATGAGTAAATTTAAATGTACTATATGTATTTATGTTTTATAGTTAATTGTAACAGTAATTTGAAAAATGGTTGCTTATTATTCAATTTTCAAATATAAAATATACTTTAATGTTATTAAAATTTTATATTTTTATAATACAAATTTAAGATTAACTTGCCCCAGGCACAATTCTGTTCTGCATCCGCCTTACAGGTATTTTTCTCATGAATAATATAAGTCAATAAGTCATCAGGATTAGTTATAACAGAATTGAATGTAATAAGACGATGATTAATTATCTACATCCCATGAAAATATTTAAATGATTACTAACTATTTCTCTCCCATTTCAATGTACAGTATATGATGACAAAAAAAACAATGTACAGTATATTTAAATGACTAGTAATACCAAAAAAATTGTAAACTTCAAAAAAAATTTTTTAACATATAGTATTATTAGTTACTGTTGAGTAGAGAGTTGTGGAAAATGGAACTAAACAATTTTTTTTTTTAATATAGTATACGAAGAAAACGAGAGAAAAAACTACTACATATTCTTTAGTAACAGATGGACTCAAATTTATGAAAGAAGAAGACTGATAATAATGTAACACAATATTATTATCTGACGTCAACGGAGGTCAAATATCAAAAGCCCACTGGACCGCGTTTACTTGTATAATCATTTGCAGATCAGTTCTACTGGACTTTTGCCCCCCCCCCCCCCCCCTAAAATTAATATTTAATTATAGCCTATTGAAGAATGTATCGTTGTGTTCGTTACTTGTTTATGTTATATATAGTATGTTACAAACTAAAGCCATCACTACTAAATGGTCTCTTAACAAATCTTAAATGTCAAGAGACCATTAGTAATAATGGTCTAACGTTCCTGTGTTGAACCGTGGTATTATACAACTACACTACTGTTTTTAAAGATGTGCAAAAATAAAAGGGTCCCATAACCGGTGTTCAAAGAGGACCCTCTCGCAAAAGTGGAGTTACTATTTTTCTGTATGCGTTTACCGGTGCTCCGAGAGAGTTTTTTTTCTTTTTCTGGATGATGTTATATATTTTATATGTGTGATAGATCAATGATTTAAACTATATACAAATCGGCCTTCTAGATCAAAAATATTATTTGCTTTCCATGAACCAATATTTTGAGATGTTTGCACAAAGGCGGAAGCAAAATTGAGGACAAAATCATGGTTGCAAAATGGTCGCGTGAACGTTTCTTGTTTTAGGCCCAAAATGGTCGCGTGAACGTTAGAGGCTTATGTAAAAAGAGATGATTTTAGTTTCTTGTTTTAGGCCCAAAAAAAAACCTTACCTATATTTTGTTCTTGACGCCACACTAAATTATTAAGAAATCTCTTCTTTTTTTTTTTCTTAATCAGGAGTAATTGACGAAACAAAAAATAATCTCTCAATGTAATTTTTAATTAAAGCCACCATTCCTTTCTTTGAGAAAAGAAGCCACTAATTCTTCATCGGGGGTCTTTTTTTTTGTGCAAACGCCAATATATTAAAATGAAGCATACCAAAGTTAGTTACTCTCCACAAGATTGGTACAGACGACAAGGAACAGAGAGCAGTCTTAGCAAGAGAAACAGTCTCTGTATTGTCTAAACGAGGAATGAAAACAAAAGAGATAGAGGAGAAGGATATCTTGAGATCAGAGATGTCACAGAGAATTCCCTTAGCCTCCTTGTAGCTCCCAGCCGTCTTGATCATCAATATAAATCACTGACGTGAACGCCATTTGAAATATTGCAAGGAAGAAGAAAGTACAAATAGTTGATCCTGACGTAATATCAAAATATAAACCGTTGATTCCCCAAGCGGATCCAAAAATGGCTACCCATAAAACACAATCAAGATCAAGCCCATCCACGCCGTAAATCAGTTGAGCTAATGAGATTATAGCCATAATAATACTTAACGTAAGAAAATAAACATCCCATCTCTGCCATGTATAACAGTTGTAAAACATGAATGCACTCGTCATTAATGTCATGCTGGCAAGTAAGATGGGTCGGCCTTTGAACGTAGTGTGTGGTGGATCAGACGGACCAAAACAACAAACCAGTTTTAAAAGGTAAACATATATTAAAACAAACCCTAAGTATCTTAGTAAAAAATAGCTGAAACTCATATCATCGTTGTATGCAATCATAACATCCCATACTCTTGTAACGCCACATATCGATATGATTGCAAACTTAAGCATCATTGATCTTGTGAATGCATCATTTACTCCAAAAATTGATTTTTTTTTTTGCCACACTTTCTGAGGCAACCAACATTGTTTTCTCACCTGAAGACATATATCAAACTTTATGTTTTGTGGTGTCTCGTGAAAAGCTTAGAATACAAAAATAATAAAGAAAGCTTGGTTTACCTAAGACCAAGCAGATATATATACAAGATAAATAAAAAACTTTTTGGAATAGAAGCTTTATATAACGAATCTCGAAGCATTAAAATCTTGTAAATCTTGAAAGTTTATTTTATATATAAAAATGATCAAATCACGTGTCACATAACTCCCACAAAAAATAATTATGTTTAATTATGTTGTAATTTTATTATTAAAGCTATATCCTCAATTTAACGGACTCATTTCTAGAAACTATTAGATAAAAAAGAATATCTTAGGTTTAAATTTGAATTGTATCACCATAGAGTGACATTCAGAAAGAAGATAATATATCATTATACATATGCAAAAGAAAGATGATACTCTTTGGATATCTAAGAATTTGTATTTTAATTTATCATAATGTAAGAAATGGATCAGTCTGCCAGTAAATTCTCAATGTACGATTAACGTTTACAAAGGATAGGGCCCCTCCCCTCGGCCCTCGATATATATCTAATATTTTCACCGGCTAGTGATATACTATAAGCGTAACCAAATGTTAATTTCTTTTTTTGGTCAACATTGTTATACCCTAAAAGTCTTTCTATCAGAAAAAACCCTCTTAATCCGCTCATTAGTTTATGATTACCGACAAATGTCTTCCTCTCATTAGTTTTATAGTATAGTTTGAATATAACGCAGCAGACATAAACTATTGTATTCAAACTGGAAAACTGTACTATAAAAGTATAAACCTATCTGAAAAAAGGAAGAGATGTTCAACTTAATAGTTATAATCATTTTTTTTCCTATCCAATAAGATAAAACTTGACAACAATCCGAAATTAACAAAATTTATCTAAAAGTCGTTTACAAATTTCAGCACTTTACTTTATTATTTTTAAGCTATTTCTTAGACTACTGTTTACATTGTATCCTAAAAGTCTGCATCGTCTCCCCATATTACAATCCTTGTTATGTCATTAACTAAGTTGGGCTAAATGAAACTCTAATGGGCTGGAAGACTTGTCTAATAAATACGATTTTCGTGTTCTTTTTTATTTGCTTTCAACATCATACGGTCATGTAAATAAGTGATGTATTTCTCGCTGTGCATCAATTTTTTTTTTTTTTGCATCAAGTTTTTGCTTTCAACATCATAACATACATCAAGTATTCCGATAAAAACTACAGTATTTATAACTATTTCAGTTTTTCATGACGCGTAAACTTTAGCGACCATTAGATTTTTTTTTTAAGTTCTATAACATTAAACTTTGAATCTATTAAATTGAACATGATGATACATAAAACATAAAATCTAATAATTATATAATGGCACAATATATAACTAAAATATTTGATTAGTATAACATCTGATAATCATCTTTAATTGAAATCAGTAGTTCTTCCTCATAATGTTTGGTTTTGTCATTATACATATCTAACGTAAAAGCTATTTGAAATATTGTGATTACGAAGGAAATAGAAATAGTTAATCCTGATGTGATATCAAAATATAGACCGTTGACTCCCCAAGCAGATCCCAAGATGGCTATCCATAAAATACAGCCAGCCCCAAGTCCATCCAAGCCGTAAACCAATTGAGCCAATGTAACTGTAGCGATGATGACACTTAACGTAAGGATAAAAACATCCCATCTCTGCCATGTGTAACAGTTATAAAACATAGGTACGTTAACAATTAGTGACATGATGGCGAGCAAGATGGTTCGGCCTTTGAGACTAGTGTGTGCTGGATACGAGGGAATAAAACAACAAGCCAATCCAAAAACGTAAACATAAATTGACGAGATCCCAACGTTTCTGAGTACAAAGTAGTTATTAGGACTCATTTCTCTTTTGTATGCAATCATGGTATCCAATCTACTTGCGACCCCATAGATCGATATGATTGCCCATTTAAGCAATAGTACTCGTGTGAACGAATCATTTACTCCTAATATTTTAGTTATTTTTGCCATACTTTCATCGGAGGTATTCGGCATGGCGTTCTCGCCCGACATATAAGCTTTTTTTTTGTTTTTTGTTTCCCTTGACAAAGAAAAAAAAACTTGGTTTACCTTTTTATATATACAAGACATATAAATATTTGCATTCATCATTTGAATCATGGAATTCAATTTTGTCTCTCGAATCTCTAAACATTAAAATACAATATCTTGAAAAGTATATTTTCCATTTTTTTATATAAATGATCAAATCACGTGTCACATACAATTATACAAACTACCTCCTAAAAATTATTTAATTTTTTTAAAGCTCATCAGATTGTAACCATTACCTCATTTTAATTTAACAAAAAAAAGTCTCAATTTAAAAGATCTTTAATATAAAAATAAAAATAAATATAGCTTAAAATTTGGAATTGCATTCTTATATAGTGACACTTAGAAAGAAGCTAATAGATCATAATGTGAATTGTCTATTTGATATTACTTTGGATATCTTAAAATTTCTAAAACTTATCAATAATGTAAGAAGGTTATTCGCGTACCTCTCAAAGTATATATTACGTTTGAAAAAGCTTAGGGCCCCTGCAGAATATATTCACTGAGGAGTGCTGAAATCCATTGCTAGAAATCCAATCCAAATTGCCTAGCTATCATTGTTATCTTCAAATGCCCAAAAGGGAAATAAATTTTTCATTTTTAGTTTTTTTTTTTTGTTGAAAAACCAGACTTAAATCTTTCATTTTCAGTTATACACAGCTATATGCAGGGAAATAAATCTTTCATTTTTAAGTATTAAATCATTACAATACACAACTATATGTAGTCAATAAATCAAACACCATGTGAACATTTTTGGTAAATCATCTAGAAATTAAAATGCTCTAAAAGATTTGACTTCATGTATCCTAATGCAATCAATCTCAAAATGCTATTAAATAACCACCCAAATTTTATTAGAACTTTAATTTATTTTCTGTATATCTAATGAAAAAGAGCGCAGCCAGATTCATGTTTGTGTGACCATACAAAAAACCAGAAAACAAAAACCTTTTTCCACCATCTTTATACTCTCTCCCTCTCTATTAGAAAGAAAAGAAAAGAAAGATGGATTGTTTGCTTTGCTCACCGATCTTATATGTTTTTCTAATTTTTCTTTGGTATTTAGTTAGAGGTTTGTTGAATCGGAGTCGGAGTCTCCCCTATCCACCAGGTCCAAGAGGATATCCAATAGTAGGAAACTTGAAACTTAAAGATCAATTGAGTCATCGTGGTCTGGCCGAGTTAGCCAAACCATATGGTGGTCTCCTACACCTTCAGATGGGTATAATTCATATTGTAGCCGTTTCAACTGCTGAAATGGCCCGACAAATTCTTCAGGTAAAATACTATTTTCCATAGATTTTCAACTATTTTTTTTTATATATGTAAATAATCTCTAGATTTTAACATTTAATTAGAAAATGTGTATTTGGTTATGTTAGGTTCAAGATGTGGTTTTTGCAAACCGGCCGGCTAACGTGGCGATTTCATATCTTACTTACAACCGAGCAGATATGGCGTTTGCCAACTACGGTCCGCTTTGGCGTCAGATGAGAAAGATTTGCGTGATGAAGCTCTTCAGCAGAAAGCGGGCCGAGTCATGGGCCTCGGTACGAGAAGAAATTGATTCAATGGTTCAAACGCTGATCGAACAAACCGGTTCACCGGTTAACGTAGGCGAGCTGGTTTTCGCTTTGACGCGGAAGATAACATACCGAGCTGCGTTTGGCTCCTTCGCTCGCGACGGCCAAGACGAATTCGTCAAGATACTACAAGAGTTCTCCAAGCTCTTTGGTGCATTCGATATCACAGAGTTCTTACCGTGGATGAGATGGTTTGGTAACCGCGGTTTCACCAAGCGGTTAGAGAACGCTAGGAACTCCTTGGATGGGTTCATAGACAGAATCATCGATGCGCATATCGAAAAGAAGATCTCGAGAAAACCAAATGATGATGATGGCCTGGATGATGACATGGTCGATGAACTTATGGCGTTTTATAGCGGCGAGGATGAATCTAATGATGCACAGTCATCATCGCTTAGACTCACAAGAGACAACATCAAAGCCCTTGTCATGGTAATAAATAACCATATAGTATATGTTTGATGTTACAAACCATATGTTAAAAAATTTAATAAATCATGTTGATGATTGTAGGATGTGATGTTTGGTGGGACTGAAACGGTGGCGTCTGCGATTGAATGGGCAATGACGGAGCTAATGAAGAATCCTCACGAACTCAGGAAAGTGCAGCAAGAACTCGCTGACGTCATCGGTTTGAATCGCCGGTTTCACGAATCTGATCTGGAGAATCTTCCTTACTTCAGATGCGCCATGAAAGAGACGTTGAGGCTACACCCGCCGATCCCGCTTCTCCTCCACGAGGCGGCGGCGGATTCCGTCGTCTCCGGCTACTCAATCCCCCGTGATTCTCGGGTCATGATCAATGTGTACGCGATTGGGCGTGACGGATCGGTCTGGACTGAACCAAATGCGTTTAAACCGGGTCGGTTTATGGAAAGCAAGGCACCAGACTTCAAAGGGAGTGATTTCGAGTATCTACCTTTTGGGTCGGGTCGAAGATCGTGCCCGGGTATGCAGTTAGGGCTTTATGCTATGGAGCTCGCCGTTGCGCACATGCTTCATTCTTTTGATTGGGAGTTGCCCGGAGGAGTTACCTCCGATGATCTGGATATGACTGACATGTTCGGTCTCACGGCGCCTAGAGCCACCAGGCTCATCGCCGTTCCGAGCTACCGGCTAAATTGTCCGATGCTTTGAAATGCTGTTGTTTAACAACTCATCTTTTATATCAGCTGTTTCATATTTTACTTCAATGCAAGAAACTACAGTATCAAACTTGAACATCATTTTTAAGTTTTAAACTACCAAAGCAAGAAACTAAAACTATTAATTACGTTTTTTTAATAATTATAATTATAAAACTTTAAGATCATCATGCATGCATATATGAATAACATTACAGTATATAATCGTACTCTACTAAATCTATGATTTGTAAATATATGTTATTTGTAACCTAATTAATCTTATTATACTCTCTCCATATATATCTCACCCAGTCACTCTAGCCATGCACGAGTTCTTCTTCAGAGTTCGTCATATAAAATAAATGCCATAAGTAAACCTCATGAGTATGAAGATTCCCCATATATGTCCAAGGAGGGCTACAAGTAAAATATGGGTAGCCGAAAGCTTATCCATGCTGTAGATCAATTGAGCCAATGACATTGCAGCGATGACGACACTTAAAGTAAGGTAAAAAACATCCCATCTCCGCCATGTGTAGCAGCTACACAACATAAACACGCTAACCATGACTAAGATAATGGCGAGCAAGTTTTGTCGGCCTTCGAGACTTGTGTATGGTCGATATGAGGGGAAAAAACAACAAATCAATCTGAAAACATAAACATATATCGACAAGAATCCAAAGTATCTTAATACAACATAGCTAAAACTCATATTTTCTTTGTATGCAATCACACTATCCCATCCTTTTGCAACGCCATAGATCGATATGATAGCCACCTTGAGGAATAATGCTCGTGTGATTCTGTTTGAAGGACTAGCCACAACTTCATTTGAGGCATTCGACATAGTACCACTTCAACTTCTTCTCGTTTAATTCTGTACGAAAGCCGGTAAGATGAAAGATGCAATATTTAGTTATTTATATATTTGAGAGGGGGGGGGGGGGGATTATGGAATAGGAGAAACTTTATTTGTCGAATCTGTAAAACATAAAAATACAATATTTAAAAACTATATATTTACGTGTCATGTACCTACTTAAAGAAAGAAAAAGGTTCTCACAAAAAAAAAAATTGAAATTATCTTGCAGTTTTATTGTTCAAGTTAATCCTTATTATTAATCTATAAAGTACCGTATATTTCTCAAAATTTAAGAAATTCTAAAAACCGCCAAAACTCAAAAGTGGTTTCTACATATAGGGTCGAAATGAATTGTCAATGGTATAATTATCTCTATAACAGTTATCATTTGTAATAATTAATAAATCTAAAAATAAAAAAAAAACAAAAAAAAAAACATTAACATGCTTTGATTTCGAGTTTAAAGAGATATATGAGATTCGGCCTAAAAACTTTTATATTATTCAAAAAAAAAACATTAAAACACATACAGAAAAAACAAATGTTATTAAATTTTGAATTATAGCTAAGATAAGAAGAGAGATGAGAAACCTGAAACTTGGAAGTGAAACTCTTCGATAAGAATCATCACGGTAAGCAAAACGAATCTGTATGAATCTTCCTGCTCCTTGTCTCTGAACTCATGGTCTTCTTTCTAAGGCCACACAAATTGGAGTCAGGGAAAGAAAAAAATGACGTCAGCAATTTGATTAGTTAATAAATGGGCATTGAAGACCCAATAACAAACTACACCTAAATTGAGCCCATTATGCATTAAATTGTCTACTTTTCTTTCTTTTTTTTTTCCTTTTTTTTTATCGCCGAATCCTCATATTTATTTATATCTGTTGCTGCCGAAATGAATATTCCACATAACGCACATACATGTGGCTGCGCTGCTGATGTGCATAGATTAGAAGGTGACTTGTCGTGATTCACAAGGTACGTAAATGGTACCAATGAAATAAGAGACATGGATTTGTCAGGGAATCTTATATCTTTTCTAAATGCCTATTAGTGGTTAGCTATATATATATATATCCATAATCTTTTCCACTAACCAGTTAACTCACTTGTAAAACATTCGTATCGATTATTATGACCTGTAATATTTTAGTCTAGATCTATATATACTAGTCTTTAAATATTTTTATCTTACCAAGCAAAAAAAGAGTTCGTTTGCTAGTGGATTTTTAATTTCCATCGTATGATTTTTTTCGACCAAGTTGATGTTCTTGGAGACTATAAGATCACTATAATAATTATGGTGTAAAATATTGTCTGAGGGGGGATAAACATCATGTAAGCGTAAAGAGAAGATTTTCAGAGGAAAAGAGAAAATACAGTATGATCGGTAAAGGATAATGTAACAGATTATGCATCATCTTGCATTCTTGCTTGTGAAATTGGCAAAGTCTCTCAAAAGTATACGTCTCATAAATAAATAAATAAATAAATAAAGTTCCCTTACTAACTTGAGGTATGGTTCGTATGTTATTGTTTATGATGAATACGTATATGTGATACTTTTACGTACACGCCTAACTACATATATAACTTAATACGGTTAAGTTCGGTACATAAATATAGACCATTCCAACTTTTTCTGAGACGGTCCATTCCGTATTGGCAATATCATGGGCCATATGTGCTGTGAACTTTTAAAGTATAAGCACTGACACATGCTGCGCTGCTCTCTCAGACAAAAACAGTATTATGAAAGATTGGGTTCGAATCGATCCACAATGTCACGACACCATCTAAGATCTATGACCCTGTATTGAGTTGAAGATCCACAATTTCTTCTTCTTCCCTTTTATTTTTCTGTCGCACGATTTTTTTTTGGATGATTGTTGAGTCGCTGGAAATTAGTTGCGACATTATTCATATTATAAATTCAAGTTGCGACGGTCGCTGGTGTGAATTCCATGATCGGAGCTCAACATAACTCCATAGAAAAGATGATGGGTCTACCTAGAAATATTGATTTGCTTTGCAAAAATGAAGACTCAATATATAATAATATAATATTATGGATGTTTGCTCATTTGAAGATGATAAAAGTTAATTAATCTGTAAAATATTTGATGGACACAAAAGTCTTTTGTGGACGCTAAAGACTAAATCATATAGAAGAAATGCTCTACTACATATAGTAGTCGGTATGAATATAAATAACATACAATGATAATGATTTCTTAGTAGTTAGGTAATTAACTCATATATAAATATAATATAATTTGAATAGTAGAAGTAGCAAACAAACTCATAGAAAAATTGTGAATTTGTTTGTTGTATACTTTTAGTTTTAGCAGCAACTTAACGCTTTTAAGCGCAAAGCCCGAATCGTGTTACAGTAGCATGATGGGTCCACACATAGTCACGAGGATTCTGATTTTTTTTTCCCTCATTTCTTTTTTCGTTTCATTATTCGATACTTTATATTAACACTGAGGAAGCAATCTATTATTATTATGATGCTAATCCCGTTGATGACACACATCCTTCGTCCTATCTTTCGTTTTCAGTAATATTGAATAATAGCTGAATAATAGCTTACAATTTATAATGCTAATTGTACTTCTAAAGAGACATGCTCATTGCACTCTTAAAGAGTTAAGTAAATTAAAAAAACATAAAACCAAATAATTTAAATAAAAATATTCGAGATTTTGGTTTTATCTTATTAAACAAAAAAAAAACAAAAAAAACCAGTGACACCATGGGGATTACTCGCTCGCTTCAGTTTCATTTGTCCGTAGTGCTGCCCACACGCACTTAATGACATATTATTATTCACTACTTAGATAATTAAAATATATATAATTAAATGAATTCCATTTATGAATTAAACAAAAAAATCAATAATAAGATTTAAATCTAATTGTTAAATTTTACTCTCTCTTTTTTTGGTAGGGTATATTTTACTCTTTTTAATATAATAATAAATATCATAAATGGCAGAAGAAGGTAAATTTTATACATATATTTTTTCCCATAGAAAACCAAAAAGCACTAAATCACATAATCACTCCTTTTATTATGTTCTATATATAAAAAAGAAAGAAAGAAAAAAAGAGAAACCTCCCACATATATATACATTTATAAACACATCTCGTGACACACTCGCAGCTGCAAACACCGTTTAGTCAGTCACAGAGACAGTAGCGGCGCTCCCTCACCAGTCAGCACCACCGACGCCGAGAAAACATGAATTTACATTTGTTCCTTCTCTGGCTTGTCGTTTCCTTCTTCTTACACCTCCTTCCGATAATGTCGTCGAGCCAGCACGATTACTCCGACGCACTCTCAAAATCGATCCTCTTCTTCGAAGGCCAACGCTCTGGTTACCTCCCAAACGACCAGCGTATGACGTGGCGCCGTAACTCCGGTCTGAGCGACGGTTGGACGCACAACACCGATTTAACCGGCGGTTACTACGACGCCGGGGACAACGTAAAATTCAATTTCCCGATGGCATTCACCACCACAATGCTCGCCTGGAGCGTAATCGAATTCGGCGAACTCATGCCTCCGTCGGAGCTCCGTAACTCCCTCGTGGCTCTCCGGTGGAGCTCTAATTACCTTCTCAAATCTGTTTCGCAGCTACCCAACCGCATCTTCGTCCAGGTTAGTGTTCTTTTATTTCCTATTCAATTTCGTAACTACTTCTTTTTTTTTTTTTTGTGGGTGCCGGTGAGGGGCATTTTTTTTTAGTGAATAAGCAACAATGGGGAGAAGGGTAATTTGGGGAATTAGATAGCGAAGATTTAGGAAACTGAATCGTTTGAGTTGCCAAGACTCAAGAGGGGTGAATGAAACTAACCCGTGAAGTGTTGTTTTGTTTGTTTCGGACTCTCAAGTGTCTCTCTGCATTTAACCCCTTTTTTTGTCGTTGCGTCACACTTTTTTTTTTTCGCCCTTTACTTCGCTCTCTCTCTCTCTCTCTCTCTCTCTCTTTGCTTTTTTCTTTTTCTTTCTCTGCTCGAAATTATCGTTAATATAAAATATCAATTTAGCTAGTTATTGTTACTGAGAAAAATCCAGTACGTAACACTCAGAGGAACGGAGAAAAAATAGTTAATTCTGTATGAGTTTTATAAGTAGGCAACTTAAATGTCAATTTAATTTTTTTTTGTCCGTACTTTGTAGTAAATATTAGTTGTTTTTTTTTTCTGTGTGTGATTAGCTTTGGAACCTACAACAATAAATTTTGTTATTGACCTTGACCTTGAATGTTATTATTTGAAAACTAACTAAAGTGTTGTGAACTTGTGATATAGGTAGGTGATCCAATTGCAGATCATAATTGCTGGGAAAGGCCTGAAGATATGGACACACCACGGACTGCTTACGCTGTTAATGCTCCAAATCCAGCTTCTGAAGTTGCTGGAGAAACTACGGCGGCCTTCTCAGCTGCTTCGATTGCTTTCCGATCATCGGATCCTGGCTACTCTCAAACGTTACTCCAGAATGCCGTCAAAACTTTTCAGTTCGCTGATACGTATCGTGGTGCTTATAGCAGCAATGATGATATCAAAAATGATGTTTGTCCTTTTTACTGTGACTTCAACGGATTTCAGGTAAAAACCCACATTTCAACATTTGTAAATTTAACCTGTCTCAATTAAGGAGTTGGTAACAATTATTCAATGTAGGATCATTATACAATCATGATTAAGTATTTTATTAATTTTTTTGATGATTGTCAATGCTTTAAAAAAAAAATTAATATATATTTTTGGTATGGGTAGGATGAGTTATTGTGGGGAGCAGCTTGGCTGAGAAAAGCGACTGGTGATGACAGCTACCTTAATTACATAGAGAGTAACCGTGAACCATTTGGTGCTAACGATAACGTCGACGAATTTGGCTGGGACAACAAAGTTGGTGGACTTAATGTTCTCGTTTCAAAGGTTAGTTCTCCTAATTTATATTAACATTAAAGTTAGGGGGTCAAACCGAAATAAACTTTGGTAGAAAACACGAGGGTTGCACGTGCATATTAAAAAAAAGTGTATGTTCTTTTCTTCCCGCGCACGTGAATGCACCAAAGTGACCTGGTTAATAAGAAAATAAACCGGTATGATAAACCGATGAAATAGGAGTTTAATTGAATTTCGGTACAGGAAGTGATAGAAGGGAAGATGTACAACTTAGAGGCGTACAAGGCATCGGCGGAGAGCTTCATGTGTAGTCTGGTCCCGGAATCTCCAGGACCGCACGTTGAATACACTCCCGCCGGACTACTTTACAAGCCCGGAGGTAGCCAGCTCCAGCATGCGACCACCATATCTTTCATCCTCCTTGTCTACGCTCAGTATCTTTCTAGAAGCTCTCTCTCCCTCAATTGCGGAACTCTTACAGTCCCTCCTGATTATCTCCGCCGTCTCGCCAAGAAACAGGTTAGACTGGTTTGGTTTGGTTTTTTAATTAGTGATTGGTCGTTAGCCTATCTGGTTTTGTAAGACCGGCCGGTCTGCAAAATTCTTCATATATATACGTATATGTATTATTAACTAATTGTAATCTCGAATAATGTTTTGTTGGAAACTGAAGGTGGACTATATCTTGGGTGAAAATCCGATGGGACTATCGTACATGGTCGGGTATGGAGAGAGGTATCCAAAGAGGATCCACCACCGAGGTTCATCGTTACCGTCCATCGCTGATCATCCAGGAGCAATCGGTTGCAAAGACGGGTCGCTTTATTTCAATTCGACCGAACCAAACCCGAACGTTTTGATAGGAGCGGTGGTGGGAGGTCCCGGGGAGGATGATACGTACGATGATAATCGGTCCGACTTCCGCAAGTCCGAGCCAACTACATACATCAATGCTCCTTTCGTTGGCGTATTGGCTTACTTTGCAGCCAATCCCAGTTTTAGCTGACGTCGTCATGGTACAATTGGAATATAGTTCTAACGTTCCAAGAGTCTGCATGGGAGTACATGGTTTTTAGAAGTCTCTCATCTTGCCCAAGCAAAGAAAGAATTAATCTGAATAACTTATTCGGATTTTTACAATTTTATTTTTTATTTTCCTACAAATGTAATTGATAGTCTCTAGTACTCATATATATACAAATATTTGCTAAGCAAAACGAGTACAGTTCAGCTTTATTCAATGTTGTTAAAGAGAAATCTCATATCCATATTAAATCGTTAACCTATAATCGATGATAATCTTCTTTTAGTGGTACAGGAAAAAAATAGGTTTAGAAATTTATTCTAGACTTTTGCCCAAAAAAAAAAAGAAATTTATTATAGTCTGAACTAACGCGATGATGACCATTAGCTATATATAGACTATCATTTTTTATAAATTAGGTATTCCATCATTCCATGCTATTTTTCTCTAAAGACTCTATCTTAATTCAATTTCTGTGAATTATTATTTCTGAAGATAAGATATATGTACACATTAATACTATAACTTGAGCAATAATATTAGTTTATTTTGGTTTGCTGTGTGCGTCCGTACTCATGATGTAATTTTGATGATTGGAATATCATTCCATAATATATTTTATAGGTTTATGATTGAACAAGTGATTCACTGATACAACTATAGTCAACAAATCTAAAAAATAGCAGAAAGAAATAATCGAAAACTACCCTTCAACTAAACCTAATAATAGCGGTTGGTCACAGATACTAATTAATGTAATATACACAATTAATACTATTTTGAGTATATTCAGTTGTAAAAGAACTTGTCTGGGTTTGGATATGTGCGAAACTAAAATATTTTGGAAATAAATTATAACGCGAAAATTGTGGAAGCTACACGGAAAGATGATGTGATATGATATAAACGAACAAATATTTGGTTTCTATAAAAAATAATCATACAAAAAAAAAAAAAAGGAGCAGAACGAGGTAGACATTGTGTAGAGAAATAAAATAACCCGATATGGAGCAGAACAAACCAGATAGTATAAAACGGAGCTTTTGCTAATTACTTAACTCTTCTATATGAAAACGAAATCGGGTTTTCATATCTGACCTAATTTATAAATAATAACAAAATATTTCTGTTGATTCATGGTTTAGGCATTAAAAGCCATTCCACTAATGACTAATCTAACGTTAGTGTACGTGGTAAAATTTCATGTACTCATTGCCAACGTTTCTTATTTTTGCACCTCATCCAGTTCAACAAAAATATTCAGACTTCATTCCCTTATTCTTTGTACCCTCACATTTATTTATTATGTCTGTAAATTAATAATTCATTAAAAATTACTTAGCTGATGAAATGATGAGTCATCTAAATTAAATATTTTTTATTTGTTTGTCGTTGCACTTATTGGCAAAATATACAGAGAACTTCTATACATATAGTTATTACTACATATATACAGAAAAATAAAATTGGAATTTTCTACCTCAATTGGCACTATAAAAATCAGATGATTAAATCTACCCAAATATTTTTTTTTTAATATAAATATTACTATATACTAGAATACACTTATGTTAAATGCATTTGAATTAGAAAGAAAAATATCATCTCTGTTAAAAATAATAAATTCTAAGATATTGATCTAAATTTTATAGCTAAATTAGTTTCTTGAAAATTCACCAGAGGATTCGAGGTGAAAGAAAGCAAAAAACAAAAAACAAAAAAAACTAGAAAAGTATCATGACTAATCTTTTTTTTGATAGAACATGCATGGATACTTAACAAACCAATACGTCGTATTACTTACCAAATTACCCAAAATACGTATACGTAAAGACCAGAAGTGGGAGCCTCCCAACATGTGTCTATAAATATGAACCCTAAAGGCCCAAAACTAAATGCAAAAACAACAAAATCTCACCAAGTCCTAATTAATATTTTAGAAAAAAATGAAACCATCGATTTACTTTGTAACGGTTTTCATACTTGTCATTGTCAGTCTACCAACGGCGATCCCTCACGACTACTCCGACGCTCTTAGAAAGTCAATCCTCTTTTTCGAAGGTCAACGCTCTGGTCGTCTTCCAAAACAACAAAGGATGGCGTGGCGAGGTGACTCCGCACTCAACGACGGCAGAAACCTAAATACCGACCTCGTTGGTGGTTACTACGACGCCGGAGACAACGTTAAGTTTCATTTCCCGATGGCATTTACGGCCACGATGCTTGCTTGGAGTTCTATTGACTTCGGGAGTTACATGTCTCCGAATGATTTCGGACATAACCTCGTAGCTCTCAAGTGGGCCACCGATTATCTCCTCAAGACCGTTTCACAACTCCCTAATCGCATTTTCGTCCACGTACGTATCAACTCCTAACACGCCGTCGTTTTGTTTACAGTAATGATGCACTTGATATCCACCCTCTATGGACGCACGTAACAGTTATAGTAAAAGATATTTCTATAATATTCACCAATACACACCGTTATCAAAAATTTGATTTTCACCATTTTTTTCATTTTACTCATACTTATTTAAAAATTTAGATAGTATCTCTTTTTTTTTGATAGTATGTTTATTTATACATATATCTTGAATACTATAAACGATTTTATCAAGAATCTTTATTACGGTTATTATACTGTCGGAAGGAAATTATAAAACTTCAAGGTTCATAGTATATATATGTTGATATTTGATTACGACAGGACCAATTTGAATATATTCTCTAAGAAGAAGTAATCAATTTCTGTTGATTAGTTTCTTCTTATGTAGATATAAATCTTTTTTTACGAGATCATATGGATTGAAATGGAAAAAATATCGGTGATTATATATTTATGCGTACACACTAACAACATGAGGATGATATGGTATAGGTAGGTGAAGCACAACCGGACCATAATTGTTGGGAAAGACCGGAAGATATGGACACGCCACGAACCGCTTTCGCCTTAGACGCACCACTTCCAGCTTCCGATTTAGCGGGAGAAATCACAGCAGCTTTAGCAGCGGCTTCGATTGCATTCAAACAAGCAAATCCAACATATTCCAAAATATTACTCGATAAAGCCATACAAACGTTTCAGTACGCAGATTCTCATCGCGGTTCTTATACCGATAATCCGGCAGTACGCCAAGCCGCTTGCCCTTTTTACTGTAGTGTTAATGGATATAAGGTTTTTTCTGAGTACTGTATACAATCAAATTTAGTTGGTTTTAATTTCATACAAAATCATGGTTTGGTTTCATATATACAGGATGAGTTGCTATGGGGAGCTGCGTGGCTAAGAAGAGCAACAGGCATAGATTATTACCTGACATACTTAGTGAACAATCGTCAAGCTTTTGGTGCAGATTTCAATTACTTGGAGTTTGGCTGGGACAACAAAGTCGGGGGTGTTAATGTTCTAATTGGCAAGGTTTGGTCCAAATTTCCAATTTTCTATACAATCTTCAATTGAAATTATAAAAATACGATATACTCATAATCGTAAATTGTAATACATATATGACCATATAAATTATACACGTTAACATACTATTATGCTTACAAAGGGTAATTTTTCTCAAGAAATCTGTTAATTCTCGTGGTTATCTTCTACTTCTTCTTTTTTTTTTTTTTTTTTTTTTTCAAAAATTAGAACTAGTTAAAAAACTAATGTCTAATGTGTACTTCTAAATCAATATGGTTAACAGGAAGTATTTCAGAAGAATGTGTCTGCGTTGGCAGCATATAAAGATACGGCAGAGAAAATGATGTGCGCATTTTTGCCGGAAACCACCGGTCCACACATGAGTTACACTCCCGGCGGTCTCCTTTACAAGCATGGAGGCACCCAACTCCAGAACACAGCTGCACTATCTTTCCTCCTCCTTACCTATGCAGATTACCTCTCTAGTTCCTCTCAGCAACTCAGCTGTGGTAACCTCAAGTTTCAACCAGACTCTCTTCGCCGCATTGTCAAAAGACAGGTACATTCAAATTTTCATCTTTATTACCGATCAAAGCAATAAATTGTCAATCTAATTAATAAACATTGGTTTGTAATTTTGTATATATATTTCTCTTATAAAATTGTAGGTAGACTATGTTTTGGGAGATAATCCAATGAAGTTGTCATACATGGTTGGGTACGGTGAGCAGTACCCGCGAGAGATCCACCACCGTGGCTCGTCTATACCGTCTGTCACCGTTCATCCAAATGCCATCGGGTGCTTACCAGGATGGAGTATCTTCCATTCACCCAATCCAAACCCCAACATTCTTATAGGAGCGGTGATTGGCGGACCCGAAGAAGATGATAAATTTATTGGAGGTCGGGATCATGCTGAAGAGACGGAACCCACAACGTACATCAATGCACCTTTTGTTGGTGTCTTTGCCTACTTTAAAAGCAACCCTAACTTCGCTTGATTTTCGTTTCTTTTCCAAATTTGTAATATCATATATGAAAAATGCAAACGTACGTACATATATATTATTGATGGAATTATAAGTATGCATCTCAGACAGACATATAATATGCGTGAGATTCTTCATATATATACAGGATTTAGATCTCCTTTAAACCATTTTTAATATAATTTTACAATTTAAAATATTCTCAAATTTTAAATTTCAAAACTTTTAATATAAGCCGAACTAAATACATAAACGGGGTATTTAAAACAATATTAATATTAAAAAAACATTATTCGACTCATCCATTTTGAGAATAGCATGAATAAACGTTTTATTTAATAACAAACAATACTTCTAGAGGATCAGGAGCAATGTAGCAGGCAAAAGAGTCTCTCTAGTAGACATGCACATCTCTTGTAGGCGTCACAAGTGAAGTAAGTTTTCTTAACCATGAAATCTTTCAACTCCTTGATGTATCTCTTCGAGAAAACTTTGTATATTACAAATCTTTCTTGAATGGCTAATTTCATTTGAGTAAAGAAAAACTGCGAACAATTGAATCCGGATCGGAAGCATATTTGTACTGAAAAAGCTTGCTACTGATATCCTCGATTTAGCTGCCATGTTACCAAGCACACTATATATGCTCAGCGCTGATGCACTTGTCATTCGTTATTATTAGCTGTCAAGATCATTAAAGGTATCTCAGACTCTTAAAAAGAAAAAAAAACAGAGCAGTCTAGAGTTGAAAGAGTGGATCAATGGACTTTCCTGCAAAAAAACTACCACGTTGAAGACGAGAACCACCCGGAAGAGGCGTTACATCGACCCAACAGTCCTGATGAAGAACTTGAATACCACCGATATTGTTCTGAAGGAGAAGGGTGACAAAAAAAACCCATTATTCTCTTAAGCATCTCATAGCACAAACCAAGACCTAATCACATCATATGCTCTGCTTGGGTATTCGATCATAGCAACCCTGTGTCCGATGTATATGATGTTCTATAGAACCACTCAAGTTCCACTGGGAGATTAACATTGTAAAAAAAAAAACTCTCACCAATATATCAATTAAACTATGAAAAAAGGGAATTAATAAAGAACAAAAAAATGTTAATTTTTAATGATAAGTCATTGGTTAGGAAAGTTTCCATATAAAAATATACAAAAAATTCAAAACATGCAAGAAAGTTTCCATAGAAAGATGGAATGAAACCGGTATTGTATATTAGTATATTAGTATATATATGCATCGTGGCATTCAGCCATCTCTGATCATAAACCCTAACTGAAAAAAAAAACAATGAAGACATCGATCTGCTCTTCCATAGTAGTTCTCCTCCTCGTCCTCTTACCAACGACGATCTCTCACAACTACGCCGATGCTCTCACGAAGTCAATCCTCTTCTTCGAAGGTCAACGCTCTGGTTATCTTCCAAGAAATCAAAGGATGACGTGGCGTCGTAACTCCGCACTCAACGACGGCAAGAACCTCAATGCCGACCTCGTTGGTGGTTACTACGACGCTGGAGACAACATTAAGTTCCACTTCCCGATGGCTTTTACGGCTACGATGCTTGCGTGGAGCGCTGTCGACTTCGGTAGTTACATGTCTCCGGCTGATCTCCGGGACAACCTCATTGCTCTCCGGTGGGGCACTGATTATCTCCTTAAGACTGTTTCGCAACTCCCTAATCGCATCTTCGTCCAAGTACGGTGACTAATGACTATAACCTATTATATTTTCTGATGTCACAACTCCCTAATCGCATTTTACTTTAGATGTTAGCTTTCTAATGTAGTTGTTTATATGTTTTGTAATGATATTTTAGGTAGGTGAAGCAACACCGGATCATCAGTGTTGGGAGAGACCAGAGGATATGGACACACCACGTACGGCTTACGCAGTGGAAGCACCGAGCCCAGCCTCTGATCTAGCGGGAGAAATCACAGCTGCGTTGGCAGCAGCCTCAATCGCATTCAAACGATTTGATCCAATATATTCTAAAATATTGCTCGACAACGCTTTAAAAACTTTTGAGTACGCAGATTCACATCGAGGTTCTTATACCAGTAACCCTGCCACTAAACTTGCCGTCTGCCCATTTTATTGTAGTGTAAACGGATATGAGGTAATCTCAAAATCATTCTCGAATTAATATCTTATATGTAAAAAATCAAATCGGTATAGATTGTTTTTTCAATATAAACGATAACCATGTTGTTTTCATTTAGGATGAGCTATTGTGGGGAGCTGCATGGCTGAGAAGAGCCACTGGCAAAGATTCTTACCTTAAATACTTAGTGGACAATCGTCAATCTTTTAGCGCAGATTCCAATTACTTTGAGTTTGGATGGGATAACAAAGTTGGAGGCGTCAATGTTCTCGTTGCAAAGGTTGGATATATCCAATTCTCTATATATACATATGATTTTGAACTGACGAGATTATATTCCTAAGTACAAAAATAAAAACTAAGGATCGTAATTCAAATTTTAATCTAACCGTCTGTGCTACTTGGTGTCGATATAGGAAGTATTTGAAAAGGATGTGGCTGTGATTGCACCGTATAAGGATACAGCGGAAAAATTGATGTGTTCGTTTTTTCTGGAAAGTCCCGGTGCACATATGAGTTACTCTCCCGGTGGCCTTCTTTACAAACCCGGAAGCAGCCAGCTTCAAAACACCGTCGCATTGTCTTTTCTCCTCCTCACCTACGCCAATGACCTCTCTAAATCCTCTCAACAGCTCCACTGTGGTAGTCTCATGTTCCAACCGGATTCTCTCCGTCGCTTGGCCAAACGACAAGTAAGTTAGTCCATATAATTAATACACATATAATGCTAGAGTCTGTCTTGATAATGTTCACGAGTTTTGTATTTCATAATGTAGGTGGATTACATTTTGGGAGATAATCCAATTAACATGTCATACATGATCGGGTACGGCTATCGATATCCGCGACAAATCCATCACCGCGGTGCGTCCTCACCGTCTGTGATGACTCATCCCACAGCCATCAAATGCTTAGAAGGATGGAATGTTTTTGCATCGCCAAATCCAGACCCCAACATTTTAGTTGGTGCGGTCATCGGGGGACCGGACATAGATGACAAATTCATTGGAGGTCGGACAAACGCAAGTGAGACGGAGCCGACTACTTACATCAATGCACCATTTGTTGGTCTCTTGGCTTATTTTAAGGCTAACCCTATTCTAGACGACTCTGCCTTTTTAAGATTTAGCAAAAAGAATTAACATGTTATTAAGACATTTTTTTTTTTTTTTTTGAACTGTGATTCATATAATGAAAGACAAAAGAAAAAAAAAGTAGCAATATATGGGGATATTTACATGTTAAGATGACAAAGGTAGTGTTGAAGTATATGAGACTTTCTTCGGTGAATGTTAAACAGGGGGGGGGGGGTGTTATAAATGCACTTTTTGTTGATTGTGTGCTTTACTTTTGGATCACATCGTCCAAATACAAAAAATACGAGACTTTTCTGTAAATCTAAAAATATGTTTGGGCTATTAACTAAATAGAAAAAAGAACAAGTTACCCAACTTGGCTCTCCAAACGTCATCGTATTGGGCTATATCCAACAACTCAACGTCGTTTCTTATTTAGTCAGAGATTCAAAATTAGTTTTCTTCTTCTAGTCTTCCGAAATTAGGGTTTTCTGGGATTCTCGTATCGATAAAGGTTAGTCATTTTCCTTAATTACTACCGTGAATTGAATTACCCACTAATCATTGCACTTATACATGGAATTAGGTGTATTCAGAAGAAACTGTTTGCTTATTTGATGTTTATACGCTTTGATTTGATTCGTCACCGATGTGCGTTTGTGATCTTTAAATTCGTGTGAGTTCGAGTTTTAGTTATCAGGCATTTCACTTTTGGTGGTGAAGAAGACGCGTAGTTGGGTAATCGATGAAACCGTAGTTTTTGTTACACTTAATTATTGACATTAGTGTATTCTGCTTTCACTTAGTTTCGATTTGGGATTTTGTTTAGCCATCCCGGTTTCACTAGATAATCGGGGAGAATCTATGCTTCTGCCTTAATCCATCCTCTGTCATCATAACATGAAAGATCTGAATGTGCTTTTCGTTGTAGCCATGGCTGAACGAGAAGACGTCGCAAGGGTTTCTCTTTCTGTTAAAAACGAGCAAGATCTTTCTCCTGAGTCTTTAGCTTGGGCTGATTCCTGCATCGTCAGTTTTCCTGATGAGTCAGACCACACCACTTGGGGAACTTTTAGAGATGCTTTAACAGAAATCATCGATATCCATCCCGAGATGTTTGTTCCTTCCTCAACAAGAACAACTAGTGTCCTGCCTCCAGACGAGGATATGACTGATTCCGAGCCAATTGCTCTACGCACATACCAACCTGAAGCTGATAGTTCAGCCACCAGTAAAAATAGTTCATCGAATGAAGAAGTCAGCGAGATTGTATCTTTGATAACGTTTGAATCAGACCCGTCAAAGAATTCCTTACAAGATCATTATTTTTCAGAGTCCATAGCAGAAAATGGACCCCGTGAACCAGCAGACGATCCTACTAAAGACTTTGGAGGTGTTGAAAGTATAGAAGAAGATGGGTCAGTGAGCAATGGAGAGGCGGAAGAGGAAGAACCAGAGTCTGTATCGTCGTCTCAAGTATTCAAGGATGATTTCATGAACGCATACATTCAAGAAGATGCTGACGATTGTAAGGTTACAGAGGAACCGGTCGATGTAACTCAGCAAGAGATTTTCAAGGTGTGGGATCTGGAGATTGTGGGGGAAGGTGATGAGGAAGAAGGGTTGGTGCTGCAGCTGAAGAAGGCCCTCGTTGATTCTTCCACAGTACAGCCCCTTCCACAGCCACTGAATGATGATACAGTTGTTATCGATGATCTGATAGCTGGGATCTCGGATCTGTCTCTTGCAGAAACTTTTAAGTGAAAAGATTGAAGGTTTCAAGTACATGTGTTTTTAAATTGACATCATAAACTGTCTTTTGCATTACTAATCCTTAACCGGCACAAACCGGATTTGAGATTTCTAAACCTCCTAGAGCAGAGCGAAGGGTCAATTTGGTGTTGACACGACCCACTTGGCCACCTGTTGTGCAATGGTGGCGATGAGATTGCAGTGTCTCTCGACCGTTGATGTAGACTAGGCAATCTCTTAAAATCTCCATGCTTAACCTCAGCCTTAAGAAACCGCAGGGAATCACGTCCTCACAAAGTCATTCTCTCTGGATGTAACTTTCCGACGCAATCTTTGGCTCTAAATTCTAAAAGGGAAATTATTTTTAATACTTGCGTCTTGAAGAAAACATACGTCTGTGATTGATTAGCAATTTTTTGATCAAACGATGTGTAGATGATGACATGGTGAACTCTTTGCCGTCAGATTTAGACTTCTGCTAAACTGATGAATAATCTCGTCATCTCTCTCCCTTAAAATATTAGAACGGATACGAACCTCATGATTTTTCCTTTTCTTATCAAAACAACATCTTTGTAGCTTTATAAGCTGTTCCTGTTTTGCCACTGTTTTTTAAATCGAAAACGATGCGTTTGTCCGATGTTTTCTGTCCTCGAGCTCATCATCATGACAACATGTAGAGTAAAGACAAGAGACATACACAATTTTAAGAGAAAAAAAAACCTAAAATTTATACACTGTGTGTACAGTGTACATGGTAATATGCTACTAAAATACATTAGCATAAAGTTATCAAAAAAAAGTTCTCCAAAGAAATAATGTCCTGAAAAGAATCTGTTACTATTTGTGTACTTACTATTTTTTCCTGTATAGAGCAAACAAAAATCAAGCGAATATGTAACGACGAGGGGAGTATCGATTCCATATTCGGCAGAAGTAAAAATAAAAATAAAATGAAAAAAAAAAAAGAAAAGAAATCAAAGTGTAGAATTTTTCTTGAATTGGGGAGAGTAATTCAAGATTACGGTCCAGGTGGCAGGATATAATTGGCAAGGTCACAAGAACCTCAAATAACTGATCTGAAGAGAAATATAAAATCCAAAAGAGGGGAGGGGAGTGAGGTGGTGAGAGAGCAAGATAAGGTGGTGTCATAAGCTTTCACTCTGAGTCTCTCAAATTAATAGAAAAAAAAACCAAAGGCAGAGAAAAGAGATAAACCAATGGCATCAACCTCACTCCTCAAGGCATCTCCGGTGTTGGACAAATCGGAATGGGTCAAGGGCCAAAGCGTTCTCTTCCGTCAGCCTTCTTCCGCCTCCGTCGTCCTCCGCAACCGCGCCACCTCCCTCACCGTCCGCGCTGCTTCCTCCTACGCTGATGAGCTTGTTAAGACAGCGGTTAGTTCACTTCCTCTTCTTTGCCACGTGTTCTTTTATCTGCATGATTCGTAAAGGTCCCTTTTCTCTACTTTTTGTCTATTGGAATTGTCTAAATTCTCTTGTTCTGTTTTTCTCCTTTTTCTATTTTTTTTTTCTTTTCATTTCAGAACCGATTCAAACCGAATTTGTGTTTCTCTTTACCATTTATTAGATGTCTGGTTTATATTTTGATATGATTCCTTTTAATTTTGGGTTGGAGTAGAAAACAATTGCGTCTCCGGGACGCGGAATCTTGGCGATGGATGAGTCCAACGCGACTTGCGGGAAGCGTTTGGACTCAATTGGGCTAGAGAACACTGAGGCTAACCGCCAGGCGTTCCGGACTATGCTCGTCTCTGCACCGGGACTCGGACAGTACATCTCCGGCGCAATCCTATTCGAGGAGACTCTGTATCAGTCTACCACCGAAGGCAAGAAAATGGTCGACGTCCTCGTCGAGCAGAACATTGTCCCTGGTATCAAAGTTGACAAGGTAACACTTATATGCATCTTGTTTGAATCTATGTATACCAACATGCATGGTGCTTAATTCGAGGAATCTAAATTGAGTTGCGTGTTATGGACTATTAATTAGGGTTTGGTGCCACTTGTTGGATCCAACAATGAGTCATGGTGTCAAGGACTAGACGGTCTATCCTCTCGAACTGCTGCTTACTACCAACAGGGTGCTCGTTTTGCCAAATGGTATTCTACTTTCACTTCTGTTTTCATTTCCTACACGAAAATATGGTCTACTCTCGATTTTAAAGGGATCGTTTCCTCTCTGCTGATTGATTAGGCGTACTGTCGTGAGCATTCCCAACGGTCCATCTGCTCTGGCCGTCAAAGAAGCTGCTTGGGGTCTTGCTAGATACGCTGCCATTTCACAGGTAAAACATGTAACTTGTCCCCCACGAAACAGTTCTAAGCGGAATCTTTCAAGCTATTTATACAGAAGTTGCGTTTTTTCAGGACAGCGGCTTGGTTCCGATTGTGGAGCCAGAGATCTTGTTGGATGGAGAGCACGGCATTGACAGGACATACGACGTGGCCGAGAAGGTTTGGGCTGAGGTTTTCTTCTACCTTGCTCAAAACAATGTCATGTTTGAAGGTATATTCGTTATAGAGTACGTCTCTTGTTACAACTTGTAATGTCTGAAAATTAACAATTTACCACTTTCTTCTTGCATAGGTATCCTCCTGAAACCGAGCATGGTGACTCCCGGAGCTGAGTGTAAAGACAGAGCTACTCCTGAACAAGTTTCCTCCTACACCCTCAAGCTCCTCCGCAACAGAGTCCCTCCCGCAGTCCCCGGAATCATGGCAAGTTCTCTCCTTCTTTTAAAGATACTTCACAGTTAAAAATCCGCAAAAACATTGTCCGATTCAATACAATAACAAAGTGCTGACTGAGGCAAAACCTAATCTTGCTGGTGGCTTGAGGTAGAAGTAATATTATTTCTCTTGTTATTTGTTTTTTGCAGTTCTTGTCCGGAGGACAGTCGGAGGTGGAGGCAACACTCAACCTGAACGCAATGAACCAGGGCCCAAACCCATGGCACGTGTCCTTCTCCTACGCACGTGCGTTGCAGAACACTTGCCTGAAAACATGGGCCGGCAGACCCGAGAACGTGAACGCAGCTCAGACCACTCTCTTGGCCCGTGCCAAGGCGAATTCGTTGGCTCAGCTCGGAAAATACACCGGAGAAGGTGAGTCCGAAGAGGCCAAGGAGGGAATGTTCGTCAAAGGCTACACCTACTGAAGAGATAATGCTGTGAAAAAAAAGAGATGAAGCAAATGTTTAATCACATTTGTTTTTGCGTTTGGTTGTTATTATCATGTCAAATCATTATTTTCTCTGCTGAATTTGCATTAGCTACTCCTTTCAATAAGTTCCATTATATTGAAGTTATCTATCTCTATCTTGATCTATTTAAACTGTGTTTTCTAGACCATGAGAGAAATTCTAAAAGAATAGTCTCAATTTCGTATTTGAAAATTTCCCGAATTTGTAGCTCATTTGGTTTGAGGGTATAGCTCCAGCTCATGAGTTCAAGCCTGGCAAAGGAGAAGATGATGAGTAGAAGAAACTAGAAAGTATTATAGTAAGACGATAGCCAAGAGAACATGGACAATTGAGTATGACACAATACAACGCTTATTTTAGCCTTATGGGCCTTTGCATAGATAATGGGCTTGATATTTTTGATTCGCCAGTTTTTTCGACTTTTCTTCATTGGGAGGGGAATAGGGATTTACATATATTCCAGATAGTTATATTAAAAAGAAAGAAAAGAAAAAAAAATATTCAGAATTTCAGATATTAGCTTACATTCCTGTGATGTGAGCCCTTAAGCTAATTCTGTTGAACTAAGATAATGCACAAACAACATAAACCTTTGCCCTCTTCAACAACAACAAAGCTGGCGTACTGCAACGATCTCTAGTTCTTGAAACTCTTTACAATCATTTCTCAAGCTGATTTTTGGTATCAGAGTAAAGTCTATCTCTCTCTCTTTCACCTTGTCACTTCTCAGACTCTCGTTTGAAGGGTCCAACTGGTACAATACCTGCAGGCTCGTGATTGTTCTCGTTATTTACATCAATGCCCTGCTCATTGAGAAACAAAACAAATTGAGAACACAATAAACGGATCAGGAAAGTTATAGAGATATATATTATTAGATAGAGAGATTCAAATACATTGTTATTTGATGCTGGCTCATGTACTCTTTGCGGATTAGCATTTAGATCAATCATTTCGTCATCAGTCTTGCCATTAGCTTCACCATTTGCATTTGTTGAGACTCTTTGGTTCTGCATGTTGTCCCTAGTATTGTTTGGTTTAGGCTTATCCCCTGGAAACTACAAGAAACGGTAAACACAAGATGACAATTAAATCAAGAAATGGACTCAAAATGATTGTGTGTATTGAGCGAACGAAAGAAACAATTAGTTATTTCAAACCTCGATTCTCTGTCTCAGCAAAAGAAACCGACCGTGTGTTCTCTTGCCACCAACATGCACTACCATGTCACATTGCAGACAGAGGGAACTACCGTCTATCTCACAGTAAAAGAAGGCTGTTCTCACAACGCCAGACGGAAAAACGAAGAATTAGATTTCTGATCTTTATTTTTAATATATGTATATGCTAACACAATGGAAACATGAGTATGGAAACTTCACTGTAAACCGATCATACCAGGTGCATTTTCGCATATATCACAGCATGGTGCATTGCTTGGTTCAGCTAAACCAACACGTACATGCCGGCTAGCTAGCTTGTTGCACATATGAACCTGAAGTAAAAAAATTCACACATTTCTGAATCATACATCAAATTAACCCATTTTCTATTGATAACAACAATGGTATATCTGAAAACTATTCAGAGCTATTGCATTAGAAACGGATTAACCAATGACTCGAGAAGGACTGTAAAGTGTTACCCTTAGAGTCATCTAATTGAAGTAAGGATTAATCGCAAAAAAATTCTTCTCCAGAAGTTATACAAAATGCAAACTCTGGAGACAAAATGTTCCCTGCAATGTACATCACAGAGTAGAATCATTGAAACCGCAGCAACAAGAATACTTGAATTCCATGTAATTCATCAATTGAACATGCTCCATACACCAGATGAAAAAAAGGTTTCAACGTTTTGAATTCTTTTGACGGATCAATATGCTTCGCTCCAATTCAAAAGACAATTTTGATGTCAAGAGCCTAAGATTCTAGAAACCAAATCTCAAAATCTATTTCTTTAGCTCAAAAGTTCTCCACTTTATTGGCTTATGGAGCAAAGTCCGATCAACTCATGCCCAAATAAAGTGAAAATCCAAGACACAAGTAACAAAGACTCGATCTTTCACGAACCCATGAATCAGAGCACCGTCAACAACAGATGCAGAGAAAGCGAAAAAAGAAAAGAAAAGAAGAAATTACTTTTTCATCGCAGGCGCGGCAAAGGGCAGCTTCGTCGGCGGCGCAAAAGACGATAGCGGCTGCGTTCTCGCAGGCATCGCACAAAATTCGCATATTTCTGGTTCAATCTTAGGAGGTCTTTTTCTCACTCTATGCGGAACAATGAATCTCACCTCCAAGTCAAAATCTTTAGCCAGAACTCAGATGGCGATTGAAAGAAATGAAGTGGGAACAAGTAGACAGTTCAGATTAGTTAAGGAGAAAGTATATAGCTTAAGGGTTAGTAGGATTACGCGATGGTATCAAGGAAGAAGAAGGAGGAGGAAGAAAGGAAGAAGAAAAGAATGGAAATTTTTTAAAGAAAATCTTTTCAAGGATGGAGGAGAGAAGCTTGAGCGACCAGAAGAGACGACCAAATCCACGCGCCGAGAGTAATCACAACACAACAAGTATGTAAATGTATTACTCTCACTCGCTGTGACTAGGCGCAAAACTGTTAATTACTACTTTTGGGTAATTTCTGCAATTTCATTAGTGTTCTTTTGTCTTTTAAATATTCATTAAAGGAAAAAATAGAAAGCGCCTAAAACAAGAAATGTGTAGTATGATTAGGAGAAATATACTGACAACACCCATATCTTTGAGTGGATATGGTTTTGAGTTCTTAATAAGATTTTATTATAAAGAAAAGTGCCATTATATAAGACTTGAAAAGAATATTATCTCGACTAAAAATTAGGACCCTAAATCGTAAAAAAAGAAAAGAAAAAGACTCTATGCCATCTGGAAGGTCATTCAGTGAATGATGTGTGTTCCCTGAAACAGACTCGTCCTCTTGTGTTTCCTTTGTTTTAGGTGTTATAATCACTACTCTCTCTCTCTCTCTCATAACTTCTATTGTCATTCAGTTACAACCTTATATGTATGATTTTTTCCTACTTATGTTGGATATTTTCTTTGTTTTCCACTTTTTTTTTCTTTCTCTTTTTGTGACGGTAGCTGAAATTGTCTTAAAGGATCAGTAGATTTAGGACCTGTGACTCTTATAAAAAGGAAAAAAAAAAAGAGAGTAAAAATATGACCTAAAATGATATAAGAAAAGTGAAAAAAATAAGAGCCACAAGAGGAAAAAAAAAAGAAAAGACAAAAAGGTGGGTGGGCCAAATGTCACCAGCCATATAAAAAAAGGAATTGGTGGTCGAGAAGTAGTAGTAGTAGTAGTTGAAAGCAAACTCTCAAAAGGCTCTCTCTCTACTAGTGGCCTTCATTTAAAGTTGTTTTTATTTCTTTTCCCCTTCCATATTCAGTTTTTTTTTTTTTTTTTCATTTAACTAATTAAAGATCTCCACAATTATGTTAGTTTTTATTTTATTTTATTTCCCACTCTCCCATAAACATTTCTTTAGCAGAATTATGCAACAACTTGGTATCTGGAATTTTTTTTTTTTTAAAGTTTTGACGCATATTAATAATTAAACCACGAAGAATTCAATTTTTTCATATGTAAACAATTGCAAAATCCAAAAAGAAAAATACTTAAAAAGACTACATTGATAAACACATTGCATGGAAACTTGTCAAAAACATTTGATGCGGAGAGAACAAAAACCCAACAAAAAAAAGAAAGAAAAGACGACAGTAGCACGTGTAAGTGAATATTATCATTGCCAATTGCTGGGCTTTTTACTTGTAATAAAAACAGAAGGGTAAGGAGCACAAATATGTTGCACATATGGGCCGAGGAGAAGGCCTGTTACTAATGGGCTCCTAACATAATATAAAGTGAAGTGGGGGGAGGGGGGGGGGTCCATCTGGCGGTTTAAGGGGAGTTATCGAATCAATGAACAAAAAAAGGTTAAGGGGTAAAAGAGTCATTAGGTAGATTTGTCAACTCCCCAAAGCCAGATGGAGGAGAGAGAAACAACCCCCCGGGGCGAATCGAATACAACAAAAGAGAGAATATCTTTGGGGACCAAATCAATGCCGAGACGAGACGAGTGAGTGTGGGTCGACCCTCCTTAGAGAGAGAGAATAATAAAGAAGAAGAAGACGAACAACAACAACCATTTCCATTACTGTTACTGTACTAGGCAGGAGTGGAGTGGGTTGTGTAAATAATTTATAAGAACATTCTTTCCCTTCTCTTCTGTTTTTTTTCCGGTGACTACTGTGTGTGTGTCTCTCTCTCTCCATTTTTTTCTCATTGTGCTATCAATTCCGACATTTTAAGGCAACTCCCTTCCCTTCACATTGTTCTTTTTTGGGATTATTATTATACTTTTGAGTTTCTCCAAAAGCATAAATTTTCTAATTTTTCATCCTCTTTCTTACTATTTCTTTCTTGGGTTACTACTGCTCACTACTTTTTTTTTTTTGCGGGTTTGTGTGGCATTATAAATTAGTGGAAAATTGTTGAAATAGTTAAGAATTTGTGGGTTGGCAAGTACTTAGTAGTGTTGGTGCTTAATTCTGTAGTGGATGTTGCAGATCAGAGCTTCCGGGTGCGACTGAGATACAATGTTCTTTTGGAACCACATTGCCTTGAGGTAGAAGACATCTCACTTGGTAAACAAGCTCTTTGCATGTTTCTCTTTTGTTGCCTTTTAATATCGATACGCACTTTATATATGAAAATTTGGATTAAGATTCAGTTACATTTTTGTAATGATGTTTAAATGCTCGGTTTGTTGCAAATCAAAAGTGTCAATGCGTTTTGACTAGTAGTTAACTCGAAGCTCCTTTTAGTTTACCTTAAAAACACGCATTTGTGGCTGACCTTGTCTCTCCGTTGATGAAATACAAAACTAAATCTTTATTTTAATCCAAGTAACTTTTCATTGTAATTAGAATATATGATAACTTGTTGTTTCCTCTACACTTGTATATATATCAGACAGAGAAGTGTGGTCTGTGGGACCATTTCATTACCCTCTTATTCGATTAAACAATGGTTTAGTTTTGATAAAACGTGACTTAGTCTTCAAGGATAGTGGGTGACCATTACAGATAAAGTCGGTAATCTTTGTTTTTTTCTTTTTTTTTTTTTTCCGTTCTGCAGTTGAGGTAGATCACCTTCTAAGTAAACTGTCTTGTATAAACCTAATATTATAATAACACAAAGTCTTCTGTTATTTTGTGTGTTTGGTTCATTGAAATGTATAAAGTGTTCTCCTTCAGCAGAACAGAGCAGCTTGTCTTTTTCTAGGCATGTTTCATGTTTTACTCTCTTAGTTTTGGTTCGGTGAGATCAGATTTCTTTAGTTTTTCCATCTCTTTCTGGTTTTCTTAGTTGGAAAATAAAGGGACCTTTTGGTCTCTTCCCAATTGTATCCTGCTGCTGAACTTCTTTCAGCAGTCCTGAACATTTATTCTGCAATAAATATCCAAAGACACCAATCTTGGAGGTCTTAAGTTTGAACTGTTTCAGGAAAACAACGGTTACACTGAAAGCAAAGCAATGCTGAGCAATCGGTAGCACTTGCTATATAAGAGAGCAGAAGGAGATGGAGAAGACACCCCGAGAAGAGAAGATTCTGGTTCTGGTGAGATTGAGGCCTCTAAACGAGAAAGAGATTGCAGCTAATGAAGCTGCGGATTGGGAATGCATCAATGATACCACCATATTGTACAGAAACACTTTGCGCGAAGGCTCAAACTTTCCTTCTGCATATTCATTTGGTAAGAAGAGAAATAATGCTACTGGAACTCCAAACTAATAGTTAACCTCCTGAGTCTGAAATCCATAATGAGATATTTAACAGCATCACAACCTCTTTTAACAACTTAACTCATACCTGGCTGTGACCTTTGATATTCAAAACTTTTGCTTCCTATTTGAAAAGAGTCTCACTTTTCATATCCGTTTGTTGATTGTTGACTCAGATTCCCATTTCGTTTTCTATTTTCTATTTTTTGGTGGTAGATAAAGTCTACCGAGGTGAATGTCCCACCAGAGAAGTTTACGAGGATGGAACCAAGGAAATCGCCCTGTCGGTTGTCAAAGGAATCAACTGTAAGTTATTCTTTCCCATTGTTTTGCTGATGCTCACATTGATGAAACGTTATGCTAAGTTCTTCAATGACTGTAATGATTGACAGGTAGTATTTTTGCATATGGCCAGACGAGTAGCGGAAAGACATACACCATGACTGGTATTACAGAGTTTGCCGTGGCTGACATATTTGATTATATATTTCAGGTAGAGGCCTCATTGTATAAGTTTTTTTCCAAAGTTAATGCTGGTCTTTGCTCTTCTTATGCACTACTAATTGGATCTGGACGCTGCAGCATGAAGAAAGGGCGTTTGCTGTGAAATTTTCAGCTATAGAGATCTACAATGAGGCCATACGAGATCTGCTTAGCTCGGATGGTACATCACTGAGGCTACGAGACGATCCTGAGGTGAAATGAATGTCGTTTTCCTTACCGGGAGCTTTTACTGTGTAAAACTGTCTGACTCTCCTTTTTCTTTCCTTTCTTATTAGAAAGGGACCATCGTTGATAAAGCCACAGAGGAAACTCTGCGAGACTGGAACCATCTGAAGGAGCTTCTATCTATTTGTGAAGGTAAAACTCAAAATTCAACAAAACTTTCCATTACTATCAAGTAGCCAATGATAGTAATGATGTATTGCACGTGGTTTGAAACTCAGATTGTTCTTCAGAAAATGTTGTCTCTAAAGTAACATACATGTTTCTACATTTTTGCAGCACAGCGCAAGATTGGTGAAACTGCATTGAATGACAGAAGTTCTAGATCTCATCAAATTATTAGACTGGTTAAATTCTATCTACCACTGGATTTAAGATACAACTTCTCTCCCTCTTGGTTGGCCCTTGATTGTCTCCTTAATTTTTCAGACAGTTGAAAGCTCTGGTCGTGAGTTCTTAGGCAAAGAAAACTCCACCACCCTCATGGCGAGTGTGGTATGCTCTCATCTACAAAGCTAAACAACCCTTCTTTCTGTTGGATCTTGAAGTTTTTGTTTCTCTAATTACCATGTCCATGCTCATCGCTCTTTATGTGCAGAATTTCATCGATCTAGCGGGAAGCGAGCGTGCATCACAGGCGATGTCAGCTGGTACAAGACTGAAGGAAGGCTGCCATATCAATCGAAGTCTGCTGACTCTTGGAACGGTGATCCGTAAACTTAGGTGAGTAAACAATACATCCTTTTTAGTACATTGCTGTCTTTCGCATGTTTAGTAATTAATTTTTAACCAAAGAACTACGAGTTTTTACACTTGATCTAGTAAGGGAAGACAAGGGCATATCAACTTCAGAGACTCCAAGCTAACACGAATTCTACAGCCATGCTTGGGGGGGAATGCAAGAACCGCTATCATCTGCACCCTGAGCCCAGCGAGGAGTCATGTAGAGCTAACGAGGAACACTCTCTTGTTTGCGTGCTGTGCAAAGGAAGTTACCACAAAGGCGCGGATCAATGTTGTTATGTCAGACAAGGCTCTGCTGAAGCAACTACAGCGTGAGCTTGCGAGGCTCGAGACCGAACTGAGAAACCCTGCCTCCTCACCTGCCTCAAACTGTGAATGTGCAATGACGGTGAAGAAGAAAGATCTTCAGATACATAAGGTTAGCTCATTTGTGAACACCCAAAAATTGCTTTCATAAATTTCCTTTTCAGGTTTGGTATGACATTGGCTGGTTTCGTAACTGTGGGGCAGATGGAAAAGCAGATCACTGAGTTGAGAAAACAGAGGGATCTTGCTCAATCCCGGCTTGAAGATTTCATGAGAATGGTTGAACACAATGTGGCCTCAAAGGTATTTCTGGTTCTTCTCATAATCTCACTTTATGCAACAGATAATTCAATTCTTGTCACATTTTCTCAAATATCACGTTTTTGCCTTAGATTTTTATGGCATTTCTGCTAATTAGCTTCTGTTTTTGCTCTGTCGAAGCCGGGAACTCCACATTTCGGCAACCACACAGACACATGGGAGGATGGTTCAATATCAGAGACATCAGGCGTGGTCGATTCAGACAGAAGGAGTTACATATCAGATGGAATGTCGACACCCCTGTCAGTATCAAGAGCTTATGTTCATTCTCACTCTGACGACGACGATCTGGACGAAGAGTTGCCTAGGCGTTCAGCAGATCCATCAGAAGAATACTGCAGAGAAGTTCAATGCATTGAGACTGAGGAATCGGTCACAGTCTATAACAACAACAAAGACGAGAGAGCAGAACCTGAGAACGTTTTAGGCCGTGGTGAGGATGCTAATGGTGAAACGAGTGTAGGCCAGAACGTCAGGGGGAGAAGCTGGAACCGCAGTGAGACCATGCCGGGCACAAGCACTCCGCCTGAAATCCCCAGGACAGACTTCCTCGGAAGACCAGCGAGTCACAAGATTTCGTTTCCTGATTTAGAGTTTGGTTCTAGTGTGTCGAGGAATGATTCTATGTCTTCTTGCGGAAGCGATTCCACTGGGACTCAGAGCATCAGAACGCCGTTAGGAGAAGAGGGAGGTATCACTAGCATCCGGACTTTTGTTGAAGGGCTTAAGGAAATGGCTAAGCGTCAAGGCAACGTAAGTTCATAATCATATATATACTGATCAATTCGTCTTTGTAGTTTACAATTCATTTTGCAAGTTTCGTTTATCAGGTCTTGAATGCTGAGGGTTCTGGTAAAATTGGGAGGGACATAGGTCTGGAGTCCATGGACAGAGAATTCGAGAGACAACGGCAAGAGATTCTGGAGCTATGGCAAACCTGTAACATCTCTTTGGTGCATAGAACATACTTCTACTTGCTCTTCAAAGGAGATGAGGCGGACTCAATCTACATAGGAGTAGAGCTAAGAAGACTTTTGTTTATGAAAGATAGCTTCTCTCAGGGAAATCAAGCATTGGGAGGAGAAACCTTAACATTGGCCTCAAGGTTAGATATTTTTGGCGTCTGTATATAGCGTTTGGCATTTTTGGTTGCAGTTTTGTTCAAGGCCTAATCTTTTTTTCTGTGGCGTTTGGTTTTGGTTAAGCCGGAAAGCACTTCATAGGGAGAGAAAGATGCTGAGCAAGCTTGTGGGGAAAAGGTTTTCAGAAGAAGAGAGGAGAAGAATCTATCACAAGTTTGGGATTGTAGTTAACTCCAAACGTAGGCGGTTACAACTTGTGAATGAGCTCTGGAGCAATCCCAAGGACATGACTCAGGTTGTAGAAAGTGCAGATGTTGTAGCGAAGCTTGTGAGGTTCGCTGAGCAAGGCAGAGCCATGAAGGAGATGTTTGGTCTGACCTTCACACCTCCTTCGTTCTTGACAACCCGGAGATCGCATAGTTGGAGAAAAAGCATGCCTACAATTACCTAACTTCTGCTTCGCCAATGACACTATGCTTATAGGTTTCTTGTAGCAGAAGCCATCTTTTGTATATTTTCTTGATGTGTCTTTTGTTTGTCTTTTGATTTTGAAACATATAATGTTGTAATTGATTTTTCCTCCCTCAACGTTCTGTTCTTTTTACCCTTACAAATTGTTATAAATGTTTGAATTTTTAATATGAAAATAACTTGTTAACACATTTAAAATTGCAACTATTATTGAATCATTATGGAAATCTATCAACTATTACGAGGCTTTCTCATAATCTTTGAAGACATTCAAAAATGTTATCTTGTTGATAAAAAAATCAAAAATCAAAAATCAAAAATGTTATCTACAAATAGGATTAGTTTAACCGGAAAAGAAGAAAATGAATCAACGACAATTCAGAGAATAGTAACATGATACTTGATGCTTTTTTGGCTCAAGAGATACCAATTATTCCCATATGATCAATTAATGTTTCAGGTGGGTATGATCAACAAAGTAAGAAACTTCTTTTTTATTTTTCTACCTAATCCACAAATAAAGAAGATGCTTCAATAAAACTGTCGTTTGCAAAGGCCAACTATATACGAATGTATATGCCAAGTGTCGTTGACTCCAACCTTTTATGCTAAGATCCTTCTATCAAGTTTTTGTGAGCACAAATAAGTTTTGAATCACTAAAACAGAACAGAAGAAGCAGCAGGGGACTCAAATGTAACAGCGCCCCCATAAAACACAGCATTTTATACCATACCAACTTACGCTAAACAGAAGAATCCAAAAGGAGGTTGTGAGGCACATTCATAAGCTAATAAACAGACAAGAAAGTAGCAGGGCAGCACAAAAGTTCATTTCAAGGAATCATCAGATCAGAGCACAACAGCTACACAATCCATAATGTGAAAATTCCCACTAAGCACAACATTACACCACTCAACTTTACCCCAACTCTCTCCATCAGAGCGTCTTTCCACTGCAATCTCCGCACACCAAATCTCTGTTTTCTCTGTTTTCTGCAAGAAGAGAAGCAATTTCCCACTGCTGTAACTCGCAATTTTCGACCACTTACAAGCCTGAGGCAATAATCCTTCCAAACCTTTGACCACTGCCCAAGATCTCTGCTTTGGATCATAAGCTCTCAAACAGTTCCCACGAACGTCATAGTAATACAAGACATCCTCTATCACACATGAACTGGACCACTCCTTAGAATGCAGAACCTCGTCTTTATCGCAATTACCTTTACTGGGATCATAACAAGGTATTGTAATAAGTCCTCATGTAAATCTTACCTCCCATTGCCACACTGCTAAACCATCTTTTCCCTTGCTCCCAATCTGGTCTCGCCTTAAGATCCCACCTTCCCGTATCTGTATCGAACACCATTATGCTTCTCGACGGAGATTTCATCGGAGAAAGCGTATCTGATCCTCCGATTATATAAACATTCCGATCAATGAGCTCTGTGACGGAAATGGCAACGGCTTTGGGCATGTCAGGGAGAGACTGAGCAGTGTGAGTTGTACAATCGATAAGCGAAACGCTCGAAGTGATCTTCCAATTGCAAAATCCACCCATCACAAAGATCTTAGAACCAAGGCCTACATAGCTTCCATGTAAGGACATGGGAGGGAGAGAGGAGATATGGACCAAGCGGTGATCAGAGGTGGTGCCGGAGAGTTGTTGTCCGTTAGGTTTACGGCAAAGAGTAAACCAATGGATATCAGAGGTTTGATCTTTGGAGATTGCGACATAGAGACATTGTTCTGTGCATCCGAAGAAGGAACGTCTCGCGTAGAGCTCAGGCGACGCGACGAGCGATCGGAAACGCCTTGAAACTTGGGAGAGAGTAGGATAATAGCATCGCGGGACACGGGCGACGATATCGACGACGATTTCATCAGGGAGTAGCGAAATCTGACACGGCGGCTCCGGCGGCTGCTTCCTCTGTGCCCTAATTGGAGAAGACATTTCCAGAGTAATTAATTGTACAGAATAGGCGAAGGCAGAAATAAAACCCTAATAATGTATGTAACGGTTGTGAGGGGATACGATGGTGATGATCCGATTTTGACTTTTGTATTTAAGAAGACAGAAATGTGAGAAATCAGAAGAAACTCCCCAAAGAGAGGCGGTTGGAAATTTTCCAAGAGAGAGAGTTCCTTTCCTCAAACCAATCAAGACGCCGGTTCGGTTCGCGTCTTCTCATTTTATGCAAAACAACACATATTTCGCTTCTTCATCAGGTAAACAGCGCAACGTTGTTTTTAGATTTTCAAAACAACATGCGTTCTTCTCACACATACATTTGTTACTTCAAAACCCCTAGCTCCCTCTCAATGGATGGATATTATACTCCTTTATTACTAAATGTTTGGCTAGAGCTTTGGGTTTTCAGTTGGTTGTATTTTGAATTTCAGCTTAAGACAAACATTTTCAATAACTTATACGAAACTAGATTAGTAACACATAAACAAAACCAAATCATACGATATGGGCCCTTTTGATTAATTCATCTCCAACTGAATTATTAATTTGTATCAACTAGTATTTGACTATTTGTGGTTAAAAGGCAAATGTTGATGATATGATATAGGACAACAAATAAACAAATAAAAATATTAATAGTAGACTCGAAGAAAATTCATAAACAAGATGAAATCGAGTTTTCAGAGATATATTTGAAAATGATAAAAGATATAAATAGGGTGTATCCCTCCCACAGTTATCTTACTAGGAAGATACGAATCCGTCACAGTCTCATAACAAACATAACAGAATGGTGAAAACGAATAACACTTTGATGATGTGTGGTTTTTGTTTCTAGCAAACACGTTCTTGGGGAACAACATGATACAAGGACCAAAACCATTGGGTCTCTACTAACCTGACAAATAATATAAGAAGATCCCAGCTCCATGACGAGACCGGTTCGAAAAAAGGGGAACAAAGAATCATGCGGAGTTCATGAACCGCATTCTCTTCTCATTCGGCTCTGGACTATATATATATATATATATATATATATATATATATACTCCTACTACGTA